CGTAATGTTGACTGGCAGTCAACAGTCGACATTTGTGGCCCACCTCGGCGGCCTTTGCTTTACTAGACTAGAACATCGAAATGGGGCCAGCGGCGAGCAGAAGCAGAAGTCGTTAACGGTGACGCCGGCAGCAAAGTCAGCAGTGGCGGCACATGTCAATATGGCCCAAATTAAATGCACCGAAAGAAACAGGTTGTTATTATCTTGGTTGTTGTTGTTGTTGGCACGAGCAACAGGCAGACATTCACTCACACAAATACAATTACAAGTACAGAGATAAATTGTTGCATTGCACCGTCGTGGACTTGCCCAACGGGTCGTATACGCATCGAGTCCATTCATGGCGCAGATGGTGAAAATGAGCTTAAAGCATTCACTTTATTTGTATAAAAGGTGTAATATTGTGCAGTGAGTTTCAGAACAGTAAAGCGGTAACTGGGTGTTAAAAACTAAACTTTAGTTATGTTTATATTATTGTAGCCTTTTTTTTAGCTAATAAATATGAATTAAAGTAAAGATTAGTATCTTCAAGATTCCCTATATTTATTTCTGTTATTAATATAATCGCAAAAATATACCACTTTAGAACTATATCGGCATGAAAAAGTTATGAATACCTAGGTAAAAAAGCGTTAAAAATAAACAAAAACAAACTAAAACGCTCACAACATTTTGGGTAATAATAGCTCTCCCTGAACAGGTTTCTATGGTGTTTATTTTTCTATTTATCGTAATTATTTACTTGTAAGGTCGTTTCGTAATTTGGTTAGGATTGCGAAACGCACTGTATCCGCGTCATTGAAACAGAAATGACCATTATAATCTGTTGCCATTAACAACAGGGCTTACTTTTCTGGCTCTTTACTTCCTTCACTCTTGTCAGAAAAGTTTTTACTCTTTGCTCTTGTTTCTTTTTTTTTTCGAGTTAAGAAAGCGTATATAAGTGAATTTCATAAAGCTGGTTGGAGAGGAGGCCCTAAAGAAATAAGTTTTCCCTCGTTTCCATCGGTTCATTCAGCTAGTTACTCTCGTCCAGTCATGACTTTCTTAGGCTCAATTGTTAAACGGCTTTTATTGTTGTAATTTCCATTTTGCCAGCTCATGTTTAATTGTTTTTTAGATAATTTTTTTTTGTAAGCCACAAGTCAGACTGCCAGAGTTTATTGTGTTAATGGCCGATTTCGTGCTGACGACGCAACAGACTATAATTGCACACCTTTGCAACATGCTCCAAAAACCGAGGGAGTTCGAGATTAAGGGAGAGAGAAGTATTCGTGATACTGACGAAAATAATTGTAAAAACGAAACAAAAGCCACAGAAACAAAAAACAAACCATCAACGATTAAAGCAAAAACAGACATTGCCAGCCACCCAAAGATTTCACTTTTTATGGTATACTTTTGTTTCTTGGCGATACATACGGCCGTAAAACAATTCAATGCCAACTTGAAATGGGTTTATGGCAAGCTCACAAAGCAAAGACATATGAGAGATATCGTTTGGCAAACAAGAAATCAAGGCGTAAAAATTAAAAAAATTCCAAGCTTAAAAATGACAGTCTCTGCATGAAAAAGAACATTATTATTTCCTTAGTTGTTTCAATACCGGGAAGACCCCACCATCGCAATCTGACTGCTAAGTACGAATCCGAGCCATGTGCTCAATAATGCTGATCAACTGGCAGACACTAACAGACACGATTCAGCCCGCACCCTCAATTTCTGCTTTATATTATTGTATATGGTTACGTATGTACATATACATATATTCATTCATCGTCAAACATTTATAATCAAGTATCCAAAGGCAAGCGAAAAAAATAAAAGTGTTTGCTTTATCGTCTGTACAATACTTCCTATATGTACTATACAAGTTTAGATGGGAATATATATTGTATTTATGCAAGCAAATTAAGTATGGGAGAGTGATGTAATGCTATTGGTTTGGGTTCACAGATCGAGTGCCAGCTATATCAAAGATAATCAATTACAGACGCCTGTGGCGCGTGCCGCCTTTTTTTCAGTGGCCCCCAGTTGCCAGTTGGAAGTTCCATTGACTGCGGATCCGATCGCGTTTTTTGGGATTTGGGTTTCGGGCCAGTCGCCTCTTTCCCAGCTTCCATTGTCTTGGTTTCTCCTCGCTTTTTGTCTGCCTTCACCGCGTCGTCGGTTTCGTTTTTATGGAAATTTATATGCACAGACGGAGCAAATACAATTGCATTCTCTCTATACCCTTCTTAAAGGAAGTAGACTTACCTTTAGACTGGGTTTTATAAACCGGGTTAAGGGACTTGAGAATTATTTAGTTTAACCTTTATTATTTCGCATTATTGATTTTTAAAGAGAAATAATTATAAATTAAAATTCTTAGTATACTCAACAATTTGTGTAGGGTACAAAGACATTCTCTATGGAAAAATTACATTCAATTACTCATTCTAAATTGTATTTATTTGTTTTTTCTGCAATAGTATGCAGCGAACAGGGTTGACACACCACAAAGCTAAGCAATCTCGGATTATGCAATCCGATATGGCCATGCCTTGCAACACACATCTGGCAACGCCATCTCCCTACTGTTTCTGTTTATTTCTGAATCGCAACAAAAGCGACCTCGGCGAAAGAATCTCACTTTGCAGGAGAAAGAAAGTTGACACAATCACAAAGACCAGACGAAAAAAGAAAATAAAAGAAAGAGAAGACCAGGAAGCAACTGCGGAAAAATTGTGTGCAGTCAATGAATGAAAAAGAAGAGCAGTGATGCCGAGATGCTAGACGAAAGAGTTGCACACTCAAATAAAAGTAAGAAAGAAAAGCAGAAACTTTAGACGTTTGTGTGGATTTTCCGTTTCGTTTCTGAGGCATTTGCCACCACCAATAAAATAAGGAAAAACGTACCGTTATTTATGAGTTGCATGTGCGGTGGGCGAAGAGTGGGATGGGGGTGTGGTTCATGGCCGATGGGGAGAAGTGTGTTAATTAACAAAGCAAAGTAGAGAGCAACTAACAAGGCATCCGGAAAGTAAGCCGAAGAAAACCGTATTTCCATTTTGCTTTGATCACTTTTGCGGAGGCAATTGGAATATCCGAATGCATTTAGAGCGTAATAAATCAAGCAGTGAAGTTTTAATGATGTTTTCAATTATTTACGGCCAAAGAGCTATTTGAAAATTCAGGAAATTGCTTTTGTTAAAAAAGGTAAGTCGTTTCAATAACCCGAATCACACAAACACCAAATTTATTATTTTGTTATTATTTCAACAACTATTCAATTTGTGCATTAAAACGATACTTTTTTGTATCCCATTTCACAAGTGCACAACACAAATTAGTGTAGCTATTATTTTCCAATAAAAATGTTGAATAAAATATTCATTTTTGATTTGTTGATGGCTGTTAATCTTGATTTTCCTGCCACCATATTTAAAAGCGATGACACTGAATATGAATCTTAGGTAGCATTTTGATTGTGCTTCAATGCTTTAAAATCAGAATGTACTTTAAATGTTGCTTTTCATCCGTTAATCGGTAATTACCAAGCCTCTTCGATCACCTGCCAATAAACGTGATGCGCAGGCGAATCCCAACTAACTTCACTGCGAGCAATCTTATCTAATCGAAGTGTCAGATACAGATACAGACAATACAGTCTGTGTGAGCGGACTCTTCCCGGCTATCGAGCACTCGAAAACATAAACATACGAGGCCCTTCTGCCTACAGACCAGACATCTGTTTGCCATTTGATTCGATTCCCCGAGTGGAGCCACCAACACCCGAACAAAGTCTCGACACTGACCTCCACACCAGGTAACCGAGGTCGCTCAGACACACACCATATAGGGTGTTTGCCTTTGATTTAATGGATTTGCGTGTAAATTGCTTCTAATTCCATTTTTCCTACTCTTGGGCACTCCATAGAAATAGAAATCTGGCGACGGCAATCAAAATGTCAAACGGATTGACTGATTGACGACCGATCGGGAGGAAAATTGGAAGAGGGGCACGAAAGGCGCTCCATCGGCGATTTATTTTTGGAGGCTAGGGTCTAGCGGTTTACGTATACTGTGTATATGTACATATATTCCAGACACCCGAAAGTAGGGGGGCTCCTAAAATAGAAACAGACGAACTTCTGCAGCAGGGACAAATCCTTCAAATATACTACCGATTTGTAATCTTATCAAAACTTTCTTTTTGAATTCGGAAATTTTTTTTAATATTGAAAGGTGTACTTTTAAAACTGTGTTATATATGTAATAAGGGACAAGATTCATATTTTATAGATAAACTGATAAAAGCTAGGTAAACCATTTTTGGGTCTTAACTTTATTTTATGCATGAACAGGTCATGAAAATCCGCCTTAGGAAACCAAGACTGTAAATTGGAATTGCTAGAATGTGGAGGGCTAAAAATAGACGCTTCAATCGCTGGAGCTTTGACATTGTTTTCACAGTGTTCTCAAGTGATTTTCCGCTGACGAATGGAGCGGTTTTTCCCCCCAAGAACAGAACAGATCCCAAATTACCAGGCGCAGATACATAAATTAGTTGGCTTTAGCTTTAGCTGCTTTGCTTGTAATTTGCAACACGAACGGACTGGCGCCATATTTGTTTTTGTTGTTACTCTTGATATGTGTGTGTTAGTGAGTGTTTCCAATTTGAATTGAGAGTGCAGTTTACACACACGTATTGTGCAAAAACAGTGCTGAGATGCAATTTTTGTTGTTGCAACGTCAGCGAATTAATCATCGGAAATGAAATGCGGTTAAGAGTGCGAAAGAGAGAGGGTTATTTTATAGTGGAAAAGCAAACGCTGACGTCACAACGGCACAGTTAACACACACGTACACTACGGCACCGTTGCTTTGACACCATTTGTTGCTCTCTTAATTAATTATGGTCTCTCTCACTCCTCTTTTGTTTTTTTAGTGATAACCAGGCACTACTAATCGGGTTATCGGTTATAATTAATGCAAAAAGCAAAAAACAACAACTGTACCTTGGGTTTGTTCAGCCACTTGCGAAACGTGTCCATCGTTCTTTTTTTCCAGCTGCAGCTCCACAGTTGTTGCTTCTCTCTCTCTCTCTTCCTCTCGTTTGTTGTCCTTGCTGTCACACACACACACAACAGCACACTCTTTTGCTCACACCAACACTAGCGCATGCGAGCCAAAAACAAAACAAAGAAACAATGCAATTTGTTTGGCAACTGCTAAATGCACATTACTGATTTTAACACTTTTTGTGAATTTTGTTGAAATGCCACTGTTTTTGTCGTTTTTTTCTCTCCCGCTCTGTTTTTCACTTTTCGTGCGCTTCACACGCGTGACTCTGCGGTCTCATCACTGGACCTGCATTTCCCTCGCGGAAATTGCGTCGAATTGCCTTTAAAAGCCTGCTGAGCAGTGCGTTGAAGCGGAAGCTGGCAACTCGAAACTCTGGATTCTAAACTATTCCATTAAAATTGCACTCGCGCAGCACTCATCCGCCCTTCGCGATTTCCGTCGACAGCGGGGCGTCCGTGCGTTCCGTTCAAAGTTTTTTTTCGATTAGTTGGATGTGGGGAAACATCGATGCCAACATCATTGTTTTCCAAATATCGGTGATATCGATGTTTGGCCGAGCCCAATCGATGTCTTCCATCTCTAGCGTGTATTCCTGTTCTTACCCACTCTGTTATTTTCCACTCCAGTTCTTACGCACTGTTAATTATTCAATCCAGTTTATGTTAACGATTTCACTCCAGTTCATATTTGTTCACTCCATTACTTGGGCGCAAATATTAAAAACTGTAATTTATAACCACCCTTAATTTTATTTATTTCACTTGATTAAATCACAAAAACAACTTCAGTAGAGGCAGAGAAAACTCAATAATAATGTTTTAATAAATTTAGTTTTAAATATCGATAAGACTTTCATGTTTTCCGCCAAATGTTAAATTCCGATGCTTACATCAATGTCATCGATATTTTTCCAAGCATCAGTAGTATCGATGTATGGCAGGCCAATTTTTCCATGTTTAAAAATCAAATAAAACGGTTGGTGTCCGTGCTTATTCGGCGGTCGCACGAAACAACAATTTTTCCGCTATATGATATAGTCGCAAGATCCGGCTCGTTCCGACTTATTTACTACCTGCAATAAGAAGACAACTTTTGGAGAAGTTTCAAGCAGATAGCTTTAAAACTGAGTGACTAGTTTACGTAGAAACGGACGGACGGACATGACTAGATCGACCCTCTCGGTGATGCTGATCAAGAATATATATTCTTTATAGGGTCGAAAATGTTTCCTTCACTGCGTTGCAAACTAAAATTATAATCCCCTTTGCAAGGGTGTAAGAAGTATAACTTTTTTTTTTTAAATTTTTTTTTTGTTTTTTGGGATTTGGTAATTTTTAAATACAATGAAATTAAGGTTTTTATTAAATTAAAATCGGACATATAATCATATAGCTCCCATAGAAAAATGGAATAATGAAAAAAAATAAAATTGAAAAACAAATTTTATTTTGCTGTTTTTTTATTTATCAAAATATTTCTTTGAGATATAGTAATTATTTACTGTATCAGAACTACGCTTTTAATTTTGCCAAATCGGACAACAATATCAAATCGCTGCCATAGCAATGATATCAAAATTCTGCGCAAATCGACATGGCCTCATTGTTTTTAGTAATATAGGCATATAAATCGAAATGCTTGCTTCCTTTCTTGTTAAACTTGTATTTGATTTTCAACAATTTCGCAATTCAACCGTTTAGAGAACGGAAAATGGGTCAAATTCACATCTCAAATTTTTCAATAGAGGGGTCGTGCTTTATTTAAGATTTCTGCAAATAAATTCTGTTATTATTGATTTCAGACCTTGCTGTTACTCCGCTATTTGGCTTGTTATTATCACTGAATTGCTTCTGTAATATAAACGGTTTGGTTAATGCATAATTTGTATAGCCATTTGTTTATAAACTATACAGTTCGTGGCTTAGTTACACAAAATAAAAGTTGTTTTTTAACCGCACGCCGAAATTATGTCTTCCTTAAAAATGTATTCACAACTTAACGAAGACTTAAATTTATTGTGGAAACAAAATAACAATACAAAGAAATATTTGTTAAAATTAAATTTAAAAGTACCACGATGTACCGTCCCAGAGCTGCTGAAAAATGTTATCGATAAGTACCCATATATTCGTTACATTAAAATGGGGTACATTATTTTGTAACTCCTCGGCGGTCACACTTGCTTAGTTTTGTTTTTGTGGGGAGGGCTAAAACCCGCGCATTGTTCATTAGATTAATTCCTGGAAATCGTCGTGTCGTTGGTGCTAGCTAACCGTGGCACATCGCAAAGTTAACAAACGTAACCAAAAGTATTATCCCCTTGGTGCCTAGACAAGTGTCAAACAAAGGGGCCTAAAATAAAAATAAAAGTAATAAGAATCCAACGGAAAGCAATTCTAGGAAGTAAAAATGTTCTCACGACCCAGGTAAGCTTTTTTTTTGCAAGGACTTCGTGGCCAGGATGTGTGATTGTGTGCGAGTGTTTTTGGGGGCGGGAATTATGCAACATTTTGCGATTCGGGACGAGGAACTGCCCCAGCTGGTAGCCCAGTGACCCAGTCATTCGTATTCGGATCAGACGAATAGCCGCCAAGGCGTCGGTATATGTACATACATATGTGTATATCATCCCCTTTATTTTTTCTTTGCGCAGCTTTCGGTTTCATTGGCACACAAACAATCAGGAATTTCCTATGTGCAAGTAAGAGGGATTCGCACATGGCCTGACATTGACCCTTTTTTCTTTCCCCTTTCGTACTCCCTCTTATTCGCCGAACAGCTGTTCTCAAAATTTTCACTTTTCCCTTGTAATTGCATAAGAGTTTTTGAATTTACCTTCGTTTTTTGGCTGCCAAAACAACAAACAGCTGAAAAAATCAATGGGATACACGGGGGAAAACAGGGCATTCAATTTTAATATTCAGTTTTTGAAATTTAATTATACGATTTTTACCTTTCATATATTTTTATTTTATTAAATATTTAATTGTGCTTTATTTTCTATTATTGGAACATCTTATATTGCAATTTTCAAGATCTTGGTTTTATTTAAATTGAATAATTGTACTTATTTATTATGAGCAAACCTTTTTTCATAAATTTCAACAAGAAATATTTGTTTAAATATAATAATAACAATAAGAAAAATATCACATTCAATTTTTTTTCTTCTAACATTTTTTTTTAATTAAGTCTATTTAAATATTCCATATAAATTAATTCTTGTGTAGCGAAAAGCAACACCTTCACGTCCATGGACATGGACGTATATTCGAAAGATGGTCTGGCAAAATTCTAAATTTAGTGTGTATACCGAAAAAATGTGTTTTGTTTCGCCATTGTAAGCGTTTTTCGTTGCCAAGTTCATCAAAAATGTTTTCAGTTGGCCCGCTATTTTGTCTCTTTTCCACCCAAACCGTTAGCGAGAGGCAAAAGAAATTCGCTTAATAAAAATATTCTTAGGGTTTTTGGGTCCTAAAAAATAATTAATGGTAGCCGCGCGCATACTCCGTGATATATAATATCACTCGAAAGCATTTACGACACGCACTTATTCCGTGTAGTTGCCGCAGATATGCGAAATTGTTTAGCACTTGACGTCGGGGCTCATGTGAGTGCCATTCAAACAGTTGGAACCAAATTGACGAATGATAGCGTTACCTAAACGATTATTATCAGTACGAAATCAACGGAAGGGATCTCTTGGGTCTCGTCATGGGGTTCTCATAGCAGCGCACGTCATTAACCGGTTTCAACTTGACCAAAATCCGATATCTTCCCATTCCCCGCGAGCATGATTTCATCAATGAACCGCAAACACAAATTAGTCACACGCCTCTATTTCAGCTATTTGCCTCTCTCGTAATTAGCACCATCTAATAGAACTGGAAGCTAGAAAAAAATATACGTCGTGTAACAGCGGAGGTCAAAATTTTAGCACTACGCCTTTAACCCGGTATCTGTACTGCTGGTATTACAGCTATGACTTGTTTTTCATTAATTAATTATATATGGTCAGGCTAATAATTTTGTATGTAAGCCCTTCATTACAAGTAGTTGAAATGGTACTTTATAATCTTATCTTGTTAAGTTCTATTTTAAGAACAGAAAAACATTTTCAAGTTCTATAATCAAACTTTATTACATAAGGGATACTGCACTTATACCGAGAATTTGAATTAATTTATTTTTTATTTAAAGAAAGAAAGCACTTCAATATTAAAACTTCGAAACGATCTTAGATTTGAGAATTTACAATTAAACTTTGAACATTTTAAAATTAAAATTAAAGCTGGGAAACTTTTTAGTTACATAGATTGACAGTTCCTTTGACACGAATCCAACAGATCGGGAATACAAAAATAGTGTGCTAATATTATGATCGTATCTGTAAGTGGATTTTATCGTGATGTTGCCAGGCCATCCATCCCCCTTATCGCCGGCGCTTTGGATTCCGGGGGACAGCTGTAAACAATGCGGCTTAGTTTCCTTCTTTTTTGCTTTTCATTTTATATTTTGGCGTGCCCAATGGCGGGGATAAACAAAAAAGCAGCTGACGTCGACCTTGAACATTGCTTTTTATTCCGTGTGTGGATGTGTGTGTTGGAGGGCGCGATGTGGGGGCGACAATGTCAAGAATGTGAGAGCGGGTACTCCACAGCCCCATCTCAAAGTCAATGGTGACTGGGGGTGCTCCAATTGTTATACTGATAAATGACACACGTAATGCACTTTTGCAAATTGCAGCTTGTGCGGAACTGTGGGCAAATTGTGCCGCTGCGGCACTTCAGCAACAGGCATAACTACGGTGGCAGCAGCAACAGTGCCGGCCGCTCGTCATTATCACGAGGTGGTGGGTGATATCGTCTGCCCCTCTCAGGTGCGCGGCATAGATCACATCCGTGATCCGCGACTCAACAAGGTAAGATCTACGAAACTCTTGTTTAATAAAGTTGCAGATTACCGCAAATGAGTTCACTAGCCTCGAAAAACTGGTAAATAATCAATAATAAATTTGTTTATCGCAAGAACTTGAATATTTATCACGCAATTATTATCACAGCACTCCAAGCGTGTATAACTTTTGTTAACAAAAATGTTGTTTATCATTTCAAGATAGCATTAAATTTTCCCACAATTGAAATTCCATTTAAGTTGTGTATAAACAAAAAGAGAAAACCATATATTACGAATAATTTGATGGATTGATATGTATAATATTACATATATATATGATATCATTTTGATATTATAATATTTATAAAAAAAACCCTTAACGCTAAAGCCTATTATGCATGAAAAAATGTGCGGTTAATTTAGATTTGATAAAGTTAAAAAATCCAAATAATAGGAAAACTAAAATATCGAAATGCTATTATTTTGCTATTAAAGATAATAATTATTTTATCTTTACTTTCCAGGGCCTGGCCTTCACCCTCGAGGAGCGCCAGACGCTGGGCATTCATGGACTGCAGCCGGCGCGCTTCAAGACCCAGGAGGAGCAGCTGCAGCTGTGCAAGATTGCCGTGAACCGCTATACGGAGCCGCTTAACAAGTACCTCTACCTGAGCGATCTGTACGATCGTAATGAGCGCCTGTTCTTCCGCTTCCTGTCGGAGAACATTGAGGATTTGATGCCTATTGTCTATACGCCCACAGTGGGTTTGGCGTGCCAGCGTTTCGGCCTGATCTACAGGCGTCCTCATGGTCTCTTCATCACCTACAATGATCGCGGTCACATCTTCGATGTGATGAAGAACTGGCCAGAGCCGAATGTCCGTGCGATCTGCGTGACAGATGGCGAGCGTATCCTGGGTCTGGGAGATTTGGGCGCCTGCGGCATGGGCATTCCCGTGGGCAAGCTGGCCTTGTACACGGCATTGGCCGGAATCAAACCTCACCAGTGTCTGCCAATTTTGGTGGATGTGGGCACCAACAACATCGATCTGCTGGAAGATCCTTTGTACGTGGGTCTGCGTCAAAAGCGAGTGGTTGGAAGGGAGTACGACGACTTCATCGACGAGTTCATGGAGGCGGTTGTGCAGCGCTATGGCCAAAACACCCTAATCCAATTCGAGGACTTCGGCAACCACAATGCATTTAGGTTCCTGGACAAGTACCGCAACACTTACTGCACCTTCAACGACGACATCCAGGGAACCGCGTCCGTGGCTGTCGCCGGCCTCTATGCCTCGAAGCGTATTACGGGCAAGTCCTTCAAGGACTACACCTTCCTGTTCGCCGGAGCCGGCGAGGCAGCCATCGGCATCGCCGATCTGACGGTCAAGGCCATGGTGCAAGATGGCGTGCCCATTGAGGAGGCCTACAACAGGATATACATGGTGGACATCGACGGCCTGCTGACCAAGAGTCGCAAAGTGGGCAGCTTAGATGGCCATAAAATCCACTACGCCAAGGACATCAATCCCATGACGGATCTCGCCGAGATTGTCTCCACCATCAAGCCCAGTGTAAGATATTTGCTAAAGTTTTCTCCTTCATTCATTTGATTTTTAATTTAAAAATCGAGTGGCACTCGAATACAATTTTACGACAATACACTTAACGACAGAAGGTTGAAAATGTAATGTTGTTTATGCAAGTCAAAGTCAAAACTAAAAACCGATTTGCTTCTGCCATTTAAAGATTTTGAAAATTGGCTGTAACAATTTACATAACTTGTTTTTATGGTTCATAAGCTCCATGTATGTTGAAAATTATTTGCTATTCTTCGTTGCAAAGAGACCCATCTGTAGATATATTACTAAACAAATCATAATGCACAGGTGCTTATCGGAGCTTCGGCCGCTGCTGGCATTTTCACCCCTGAGATCCTGCGCACTATGGCGGATAACAACGAAAGGCCCGTGGTGTTCGCCTTGTCCAATCCCACCAGCAAGGCGGAGTGCACCGCCGAGGATGCTTATAAGAATACAGATGTAAGAAATCAGAGTCTTCCGAGCTATATCTTTTTATTAATAAGCTCTCTCTGCTGACAGGCTCGCGTAATCTTCTCGTCGGGCTCTCCGTTCCCACCTGTCCAGGTCGGCGACAAGACCTTCTATCCGGGTCAGGGCAACAACGCCTACATCTTCCCAGGCGTGGGCTTGGGCGTGATCTGCACGGGCACCCACCACATACCCGACGAAATGTTCCTCATCGCCGCCCAGGAGTTGGCCAACTTTGTTGAGCCCAGCGACATTGAGCGCGGATCGCTGTATCCTCCTCTATCGAGCATCCGGGAAGTGTCTATGAATATTGCCGTTGGCGTGACCAAGTGTGCCTACGACAGAGGTAAACCCAACTGTTTTAAAGAGGCTATACTATATTATTTATTCAGAAAACGTTCTTAAAATGTTTTAAGCTACAACGATTTGAAGAGAGAATTTAAAGTTTTTTAAATAATGAAGGAGGATTATTGAAAGAACATTTTATTAATTTTATACAATTCTTTAGGCCTGGCATCTACCTATCCGGAGCCGCAGGACAAGCGCAAGTGGCTGGAGAACCAACTGTACAACTTCAACTACGAGAGTTCCATGCCTGCAACCTGGGTCTGGCCACGGATGCCCTACATTAAGACTCGTGATTTAGTGCCCACAAAACTCTATGGAAAACAAAGTGAAAATTAATTTTTTTATTTATTCTAGGCGAAGAAAGCCCGCTCATTGCCGCCATCAAATAAAAAAGCATTAAAGCGTTCAACTGATTGATGGCACCGTTCTGTTTTGCATCTAACACACTCTACTACTTCCAAGCGTACACCATCAGCACCAAGCAACCAACCGACTACTAACAAGCCTACTCTAAATTAGATAAATTTCAAGTGCTCACTCTATTTAAATGTTTGTTGATCGATCCGTTGACTCCGTCAGTCAAACTCTGAGATTCGGTTCTCCAGCTCCAGCTACTCATAGCCTTGTTGACTTAAGAAACTATTGCAAAAAATTGTTAATAACACCAGACCAGTAGTCATGGATACGGGAGAGTTAAAACATGTGCGGTGGGCGACGGAGACAACGGATTAGTTCTTAAGTGTATTTTCAAATTGTTCTTAGTATTATGTATGTATGGCGTGTTTTTATATTTGTATAAATTATCATGTTATTAATTTTGTGATACCAAACCGATACCAAATGACGACAATGACGACTGTGACGATGACTACGCCTCTGAAAAAGCAATTACGCAGTATTCTATCCTATTGCTATCCTATCTGTATTTATTCTGTGCTATGTTTATGGTTTGCTGTATCTAACCACCCAATTGGCTTTGCAGTTCCATTCCCTCTTCGCTTGCATATATCTCCTGCATTCTCTGTGCATCCCAGCTTCCGATCTGATATGCTCTGTCTACTACTACTAACTCCGACGGCGGCATCAAGCGAGCTCTAAAGCTACATATACCTAGAAATTCACGCTTTTTCACAAACCCGAAATTCGACAATTAATTTATTTATCTATTGCTATATGTTCCTTTCGTTGACATACAGAGAGCGAAGAACTTATGTAAATTATTGAACCCCAACCAACCGACCGCCTAGAACAATTGGCTAGACAGCAGAGCTAACTGGTGAGAGCAACCCAACCAACCATGCAACCGATTCCACATGTAAAACAACTTAATTCGCTGCCGTTAACCTCCAACTATCTAAGTTAATACATTATGATTTCTATCTTTTTGTTCCATTATATCTAAAGATATATTTGAGTGACGATTATTTTTGTTGTTGAGCCATGTCTGATATTTATTAACGCAATTAAGCAGCTTTGTTATAATTTATTGTTACCAAGATCAAGCTAATGTATCAATAACTAGAAACCCTAAACCTAATGATCGATCGGACCGATTTAGCCATTGAACCACTGACTAGATGATGATGATGTGCGATAAACAATAAAAGAAAACACAAGTTAAATTCTTTAAATGTTGCTTAATGGGATCCTTTAGAACAAGTATTTGCTTCAGATCTGTTGAGATCTTAAAGCCTCTTTGTTCGCTGAGCTTTTCGATGGGAGCGGTTAAGTTTTTCTGAGAAAAAGAGTGAGAGACTTGCTCTGTAAGATGTCGCTGATAATTAACTTGTTTTTATTGTCCGGGTAAGTATAAACAAATGTTTGGTATTATTTGAATATTCCCATAGGTCATTTAATGTGTTCCGTATGACAGAGAGAGTATTTGCGGCTTCCCAAAAAGCTGAGAGATCTAAGCTCCAAATTAATCATGATTTCATTCTCTCATCTACGGGGTATAAAATGAAACTTCTCAGCTCGCTGTCTTCCAGTCGAGCTTGGAGCGTCTGTTTGCCCAGAATACAACGTCACACTACAGGTTCCGATCAGTCCAGATCAGCTATCGCAGCGAGATGATTGGCAGCAGCCTCGTCGTCTTATATGGCATTGCCCTCGTGTCGTCGATGGGCGTGCAATCTGCCCGAGCAGGTTAGAGGAATTCTACGAATCCGAATCCGCTTCAGTGCAATGCTAATATTGGTGTACATTACATGGGTCAGCCTACGCCGACGACTGCACCACCCCGGATGGCGATCAGGGCCGATGCATGCCCTTCTCCTCCTGTCGGAACATCGAAGAGCGGCTCACAGAGGCCCAGAAATCCGGACAGAAAGTACCAGCCGATTACGCCGTCTATCTGCAAAAGGCCTCCTGCGGCGAGTTTAATGGAGTGGTAAGTTCAAACATTTTTTTTTAAATCACATGGCTTCTGAGAAACAAAGGTCCAAAGATCACTCAAAAATATCAACAATAGCATCACAGCAATGTCAGCATAATCTAAAGTTTTTGTACATGCACCTTGTCTTAAATCGAAATGACTCAATCAAAAAGGAACCCCATATTATTTTGAGGAACATTGTTAGTTTATTTGCCATGTTGATGATCACAGTTTTACTTCCTATGACTGTATGACGAGTATTATTGTAAGTTAAACAAACAACCTATGAATAAAACCTATAAACTAAGCTTATCTACATATAGAAAGCAATTAATTAACATTTTAATCAATACGGTTAAAAGTTTATTGCATTTAAAGCGAATTGAGACAATTATGATATTTGTTACATCGTAAACATATTCCAGTAAGGAACTAAAACATTATTAATTAATTCTGAAAAATGTGATTCAATAATATAAATGGTACCTCCCCTTTCAGCGTCACTTTTGCTGTGCTTCCGCCCAGATTCAGCACAACTCCAAGGTAATGACCCTTTTGAAGGACGAGAATTTCGACTGCGGCAACTTCCTCAGCCAGCGGGTGGCCAATGGATACGAGGTGAAGCTCTCATCTAGACCCTGGATGGCCCTTCTTCGTTACCACCAGTTTGGAGAGTCGAGATTTCTCTGCGGCGGAGCCCTAATCTCTGAACGTAGGTGTTCGCCATTTGAAATAGATGTCGACTTTTAATAATACTTTTATTCTAATAAAGGTTATATCTTGACTGCTGCCCACTGCGTCCACGGACTCCAGAATGACCTGTAAGTATTAAACAGTCAATTAAGGATGCTTTGTTTTTAAACATAATTAAATAAACTCAACTTTCTAAGTAACGCATTCACAATATTTAATTGATACGAAATCCTATCAATATTAGTTACGAGATCCGTCTGGGTGAGCATCGCATCTCAACGGAAGAGGACTGCCGGCAGCAGGGACGAAAGAAGAAGTGTGCTCCTCCAGTTGTCGATGTGGGCATTGAGAAGCATCTGATCCATGAGCAGTACGATTCCCGCCACATTATGAACGACATTGCTTTGCTGCGCCTAAACAGAAGCGTTCCCTTTCAAAGTAAGTATAGGAATTGAAGACGTTACTTGGTTATTGCTAATTTAATATTCCTTATCCAGAACACATCAAACCCATTTGCCTGCCCATCACGGATGAGCTAAAACAGCAGGCGGAGCAGATTAATACCTTTTTCGTGACTGGCTGGGGTACCACGGAGAATGGCTCCTCCTCGGATGTGCTGCTCCAGGCGAACGTGCCGCTTCAGCCCCGGTCTTCCTGTTCTCAAGCCTACCGAAGAACAGTGCCCCTCACCCAGCTTTGTGTAGGCGGCGGCGACCTTCAGGATTCCTGCAAGGGTGACTCCGGTGGGCCACTCCAAGCTCCCGCCCGTTATTTAGGAGAGTTCGCCCAGAAGATGGTGGAGTTTGGCATCGTAAGCCAGGGCGTAGTTTCCTGCGGACAGATCAGCCTTCCAGGACTATACACCAATGTCGGCGAGTACGTCCAGTGGATTACGGACACCATGGCCAGCAATGGCCTGTGAAAAGAGTCATCAGTTGTGAGCAGTTTTTAAAGTGTATCTTAGTAATTAGTGCATCCCAAAAATATATTATACACATATTCGTAAACTTATTTACCATCTGCGATTTTATTGGGCATTTGTTGTGAATTGCATAGCATCTTGCAAAAATATGATTTCTGTCTATAATACTGATAAAAATTTGTTGCTATTTTAAACGTCAAGCTGGATTTCTATTTTCATTTCCATTGGGAAATATAATGAAAAGGTACTAGTGTCTCTATTATAAGACTATGATTAATTAAGTTACTGTAGCTATCAAGTTTTTCTTTTTGTCTTCCCACAATTTTAATTTCTCGACCATGAATCATGGATACATCTTAATATTATTCAATATTAACTAAGCTGGCACATACCGGCTAATAATTTTGCTTTTGTTATTAGTTTCAACAATTACAATTGTTGTGTAATACCATGTATGAGTAATGTCGCTAAAATCTTCTAAGTTTTCCCGTAGAATTATATGTTGCCTGGGGGCAAAACGATTTAAGGGAAATAAGTGTATATTGCGCTATTAATCAAAAGAGATAATGCCGCTAATATATATGAGTTTAATTCAATTGTCGTTCGACCCTCGATTGAACTGAGATAAGTAGTTGATTATGTTTCCATATGAGATTAACTATAATGTAGTCAAGTATTCCCGTATTAAAAGTAGAATGTTTATAGAGCCCGACCTATCCTAAGTGACTGGCGTTTTATACTTAGCACGCTTTTTCATAAAAATCTTAAATTTCGGGGGTTTTTATTGCACGCATGGCGCATTTGGGGATCTTACCCGCAATGCTGGGAATTTCTGTTCTGGAAATTCCATGTTACACATCGTATTCATATTCGAAGAACGGGTTTCGATCCAGCGAACTGGCAGCCGGCAACGATCTGGACGATGGGTGTAGCCAGGTGAATGGGGAATTAGTGAGCATACTAATTGAGAAAAAAAAGTACCGCTTCTATTAGGTGTGTACCCCACCTATTGAACGCCATTGACGCGTGCCCGTCCCCGCGACTTGATCAACAGATCTCCACTTGGAAAATAGGAGATTTAGAGGGGTAGAGAAGTAGACAAATAGAAAGACCAGCTCAGTATGAGACAACGACCGATTCGCAAGGGGGTTTCCTGGAATTTAATAGCTATTCCCACGCTCCACGCTCCATGCCCTCTATCGTTTTTCGCTCGATCGATTCGGTATCAAAAAATGCAATAAGAAAGGAAGTAAACTTTGGTAAGCCGAAGTATATACATTTCGATTTCGATGCTTAAACTAGGTCGATTTTTCGAAAAAATTTCTGATCGTTCCTATAGGATATATGGCAGCTATATGATGTTGACGTCCGATTTATATAACAGTAAACCCGTCATTCTTTAATAGTTAAAAATTACCATTAATTTGAATATATTAGAATATGTTAAGAAACAACAAAGTTTTAATTTTATTTCATTTTTGTTTTCTTGATGGTTTCTATGATATAGTTCCGGTCCGGCCCGTTCCGACTTAATTACTACCTGAACCACATAGCTTTAAAACTGAGCGACGACTTTGCGTAGAAACGGATAGACTGACGGACAGACTGAAGTACTTTAATCCGTTTATTTTCTTGCAAATGTGTCATATTTTAAAGTAAAATAATGATATATATGAGGAACTAATTAGTTAAAAACAAGAGAGAACGCTATAGTCGGGTGCCCCGACTATCAGATACCCGTTACTCAGGTAAAGGGAGTGCGAGGGAGATGGAGATAGAAACTTTGATCACGCATAACTTTTTAACTAATGGTCCGATTTGAAAAATTTCTTCTACATTTCGATAGGTATTGATAAACACAATAAAACTGCATTTTTACTTTTCCGAAATATTTAAATTTTTAAAATCGTATATAAGCGATTGTGGGCGTCACAGGGGGCGTGGCACCATTTTGAAACAAACTTGCGCTGCGTAGGAACTCCTAGAATCTGCATGCAAAATGCCAATCTTCTAGCTTTTATAGTTTCCGAGATCTCAGCGTTCATACGGACGGACAGACGGACATGGCTATATCGACTCGGCTAGTGACCCTGATCAAGAATATATATACTTTATAGGGTCGGAAACGCTTCCTTCTAGCTGTTACATACTTTTGCACGAATACAATATACCCTTTTACTCTACAAGTAACGGGTATAAAAATAACAACAAAGATTATAAACAAATAGTCGCGAAATCCATTTAATGTCAGATCAAATTTTAACAAGGGGTGCAGAAAAATGGTTGGGTTATCCTTTAATAAAACCTTTCTGTTTTTATAACTTTTAACACAACTAATCATTTTATTATACCCGCCTCACCGATTTCTCTGAGCTTATAGTATAGGAGTATTGGACTACGAACCCCCGACTCTAACTCAATATGATAGCTTATTTCTGAAACTATCTCCTGCCCCAAACCCCGCACACGTGCGCTTATGGAAGTGCACCAAAACCTGTATTACCGATCTGGGATTGCGCTCAGCTATTGATCATTATTGCTGGATTGGATTGGCGCTTCTCCGAGCACGCGAGTCCGAGCTACAAAAGCACGGCACACGTCGATCTGCAGCTCATTCCAAGTTGATCGGTTCAGCGCGCCAGTTGGAAAACTAATTCGTGATCGGGAACGTGATCTTCAATAGTAGAAGTAATATCCGGACTTGAGACGGGTTCTAAACAATAGCTGGAACGCCTCCCACAAAGATAACTGATCACAACAATCAGTCAGGATGGGAATTACGGCGATTTTAAGCCTTGGGCTGGTTTTGTGCGCCTTGCCACAACTTGTTCTAAGCCGTAAGCCTTTTTAAAAACTTTATTTAACTTCAGGAAAGTTTTTAATTGATTTTATTGATATACAGAGAACAGTTGCCTTACTCCGGCCAGAGCAGCAGGTCAGTGCATTCGATACCAGGAGTGTCCATTCGTCCAAAACATCATCCGAATCTACGGCCGTAATATACCTTCAAAGATTCATAGCCAAATAAGACAGATGGAGTGCAAGAGCAACACAAATGTAAGTTGGTGATACAATTTTTTTGACTTTCCTTAAAAAGTTTTGAAATTACTTCCTTGAATCGAAATGCTGATCAATATCTAAAAATAAATTCCGTAAAGTGTATTTAAAAGAATCACAGCTTTAATTAGGTTTCATAATGCCAATTTTGTCTATTAATGTCAATTATTTCATAAGTTTACCTATAGTTTTATAATAAATCACATTTAATTTGCAGGAATTCCATCTTTGTTGTCCGAATGAGGCGGCACCGCAGTCGGCATCCAGTCAGGAGTCCCAGAGAAAGGTTGTGCGATCGGAGGGCGGAAATCTGAACCGCTATGATCGCCAGGGATTGCAACTGCTTAACTCGGTGACCAACTGCGGCAACAAAGGAAATCCCAAGGTCAGCGGGGGAACGACAGCCAAGATCGGCGACTTTCCCTGGGTGGCGCTGCTGAAGTACAAGGTCAACAGTCCGCGTCCCTTCCTCTGCGGCGGCAGTCTCATCAGCGACCGCCACATCCTCACCGCCGCCCACTGCATCATCCAGCAGCCTGAAGTGTAAGTCCCCATGCCATTTTAAAACTTGTCGAACCAGTAATTAAGAAAAGGTATTATGTCTATTAAACTATTTAATCCTAGGAGTGTATACAGATAACTGTTGATATTTAAAACATATTATGTTTGATAACGCTTTCAGAGTTGAGACAATTAATAATTTGCTTTGGAACTGAAAGATAATTTTAAATGGTTAAATGTTAATTTTATGTTATTGCTGTAATACGAATTTAAAGTTACTGACTAATTTGTATACAACTTTTATCTACTCCAGAATTGCAGTCCGTCTGGGCGAACACGATCTAACGACCGAGGAGGACTGTCAAATTTTGGGTGGAACGAATCGCGTTTGCCTTCCGCCCTACGAGGAGTTTGGCATAGAGAAAATTCACGTTCATCCCAACTACGTTCACGGTCAGATCAGTTACGACCTGGCCATCATTAAGCTAAGCCAGGTGGTAAAGGAAAAGTCCCACATTAAACCCGTGTGCCTTCCAATCGATCAGCGGTCCCAAGAACTGTCCTATGACCAGAGCTTCTTCATCGCCGGATGGGGAGGAACTGAGAAAGAGACTACGGCCAACAAGCTGCAGCAAGCTCTGATTACCCGCAAGAATCTGAACGAGTGCCGCCAATTTTACAACAAGGGTGAGGTGAACGACAATCACATTTGCGCCACGGGAAACGGAATCAAGCACACCTGCCAAGGAGACTCCGGCGGCCCAGTGTTCTTCAAGCACCGTTTCAAGAACACATACCGAGTGGTTCAGTACGGAGTGGTCTCCTTCGGAGGAAACCTGTGTGGAAGGAACCTGAATCAGCCTGGAGTTTTCGCTAACGTCATCGACATGCTACCCTGGATTACTCAGAACCTCCAGTAGTGATCCGTCCTCTGATGGACTTGCTTTAAAATAAATCACCTTATTTATATCCGTAGTCATAAGATCCCTTGCCATAGTTAGAGGATTCCTTAGCTTTTACATTTATTTAATACATATAACATAAGCAGCATTATTCAAATGGAATTTACTTATTTTGGTGGGCTTGTGAAAAATAAAATATTTATTTTTTCAAATATTGGCTTGTTTGGCGACCTTTCATTATGCCAACACACACAAAAAGAGCGACGAGACTTTAACATATGTACATGCATGTTTCACCAGATAGCCAGATTTGAAATCCCTAACTTACTTAGAATTTCCAACTGGTTCTGGCTTCTTATTTGTGGTTATCGGGATGGGGATGAGTAAGTTAGAGATTTCAACGCTGAAGATCCGGATTTGCAATCTGGTTAATTGTGAAATGCTGCAATGTTGGGTCTGGCATTTACTTTTAATGTTATACGCAAACAATTAATAGTTGCGGCTATATAATATACAATTTCAAAAACATAAATATCTAGCAGAACCGTGCATCACCTTTGTCATCGATGAGTATTCTCAAAACGAGGACGGAAGCTAACTTCGGCAAGCCGAAGTTTTAATACCCTTGCAGACTTTGACGAAATTGCTAAAAGTGAAAAAGTAGCGAAAGGAATAAGGTATACATAAGTAAACTAGATTTGCATCGTTTCAAGTCAATTGCTTTTATACTGCAAAAATGTCATATACAAAAGGGATACTTTCGCAGCCTTTAACAATTTTTCCTATCTCCTTTAAGATATAGACTTCCGAGCGGCAAGCGCTTTTACCCTAATCAATGCGTAAATAAATAAGAATTGGAAAATTTTATGTTAGTAGCTTACACACTGCGCGAAATATTCTGATAATCATCAAATTTGGACCGATTTCACCCTATTGTTCCTATGGGAGCTATAGGATATAGACGTCCGATCGTCACGCACTTTTACCCTGTTTAAGGTACGCATAAAAAAATAAGATTTGGAAAGATTTATGTCAATAGCTTTTACACTGCGCGAAATATCCTAAAAATCATTAAATTTTAACCGATTTTACCCTTTTGTTCCTATGGGAGCTATAGGATATAGACGTCCGATCGTCACGCGCTTTTACTCTGATCAAGGTACGCATAAAAAAATAAGATTTGGAAAGATTTATGTCAATAGCTTTTACACTGCGCGAAATATCTTCCATTCTTGCAAGTTGTATCCGATTGTTCCTATGGGAGCTATAGGATATAGACATCCGATCGGGGCGGTTTTCAAACTTGATCTGCGTACACTTGTTTTAGGACGACTGTGAAAGTTTCAGATCGCTAGCTTTTAAACTGACAGACGGACGGACGGACGGACAGACGGACAGACGGACATGGCTATATCGACTCCCCTATTGATCCTGATCAAGAATATATATACTTTATAGGGTCGGAAACGTCTCCTTCACTGCGTTACAAACTTCTGACCAAAATTATAATACCCTCTGCAAGGGTATAAAAATAAATCACAAGTGTTTATTAATCAATGCATTTTCATACAAAATTGTGATCAATATTACATTTTCAGGTCATAGGAGGTCATCGGTTAAAAATTCATTACTTATCCCAAATCTTATTTTTAAGAAGAGAGAGAGAGTCAGTTTTTCTGCTTTTGAAACGATTGTCGACTGATTCTGTCGACTCTGCCAGCATCGCAGTCAACAGGCTGATGAAAGAGTGATGAATTACGTAGATGCAGGGTAGCTTAGCGAAGGTTGGCAAAGATGCAAAGAGCGAGAAAGATTTTAATTTTGTGGTTTTCATACCTTTTGTATTTTTTCGATAAGACTCAAATCCGAGTTAAAAAGCGTTGTCAAACTGGAATTTTGGCTCATTCTAAGTTCCTCAGTTCAGCGCTCTAGTTGACAGTACTTTAGAGACAGATTAATTTAAAGCTTTAAGTAAAAAGAGCACCTTAATTTAAGGATGCAATATATTGTGATTCTACATGCCTGGTTGATCCTGTGCGTTTTATCAGGGCTGGTTTTCAGCCGTAAGTTATCTCCTAAATCCTTAAGTTCAGGAAAGTTTTTAAAAACTTGTGTTCATTTACAGAGCGGAGATGCCGCAATCCGAATAATAAAGAAGGTTTGTGCCTTCAATTCCAATACTGTCCATTCGTTCAACATATCTATAAATTGTACCCCGACGACATGCCTAAATACATTGTAAATCAGCTGAGACAGATGTTCATGCAGTGCCCTGCCACTACGAATGTAAGCTTAAGCTTTTCAGCTTTCTCTAAATGGAACGGTCTTTGGTAAGTTCACAGCTAATATAATTTTATTTGCAGCATATTTGTTGCCCAGTCCAGGCACCCTTCCAAAGAATCGAAGTACGAATGCGAATGGAGGACAGTAGACTGGACTACTATGACCGGCGGGGTCTTAAGCTTCTGCAGTCGGTCAAAGACTGCGGCAACAACAGCATACCATCGAGCAAGATCAGCGGAGGAAGTAAAGCCAGGCCCGGCGATTTTCCCTGGATGGCGTTGATCAAGTACGACAAGGACCCAAACGGAGAGGTTCGCTGCGGCGGCAGCCTCATCAGCAAATGGCACATCCTGACCGCCGCCCACTGCATCCAAAATCGTCCTCAAGTGTAAGTTCAATATTGAATTTATATATGGTAATATGTATGGCTACTTTATTCGTTGCAGTACTGCAGTGCGTTTGGGAGAGCACAATTTAGATACGGAGGAGGACTGCCAGCTTTTGGGGGTAAGGCTTTACTGCATTCCACCCTACGAGGAGTACGGTGTTCGGAGTATAGCCGTGCATCCCTATTACGTTCATGGCAGGATCCACTACGACATAGCCATCATCAAGCTGAACCGAGAGGTGGAGCTAAAAAGGCACATTAACCCAGTATGCCTGCCGATCAATCAGCCGTCACAAATTCTAACCTACGACCAGAGTTTCTTCGTCGTTGGATGGGGTAAAACGGACAAAACGGATGCCCCCACCACGCTTCAGGAAGCCCTGATAACCCGGACGAATCTAGACGAGTGCCGAAAGTTTTACATAAATAGCGAGGTGAATGACGATCTCATTTGCGCCACGGGGAAAGAACTTAAGCACACCTGCAAGGGAGACTCCGGAGGTCCGGTATTCTTTAAGCACCCCTTCGGGAATACCCATCGCTATGTCCAGTATGGCGTAGTCTCCTTAGGCGGAAACCAATACGGCGTGACCAAGAGACAGCCTGGGATCTTTACTAGCGTCATCGCCATGTTGCCGTGGATTACACAGCAACTCCAGTAGTGGTCCTCCGACTTATCTTTTTAAAAATTCCTTTTATTATATTCCTAGTATGCAGATGTCTTGTCATATTTGTTAAATAAATAGTACCCACAATCAATAAAAACTAAATTAAAGATTTCAGTGTTCTCCATGTTGGTCGGGTTAAATTTTATCTGCATCCCAAGTAACTTCAAACTGATTATTTAAAATATGAAGTTACTTGAATTTTTTAGGAAATACATTTCTTTTGGCTGAACATACACATACACAGTTACGCAGAAAATTAAATAAATTCACGTTGAAGTAAACATTTTGAAAATGGGTGATGTCAGAGAACAATGTTCCTGTTTTTTGGTCTGTAAATCCGATGCTCAAAAGATTTTGGAAAACAAAATGAAAAAATTGTCTTTTTTGTTTGTGGAATCATTTTAATTGTATTAAACAACGAGGTACATATGTACATACAAGTTGGGTCCATGAATTTTTAAGAATTGCCTGTCTAGGCAAGAACCAAATTTTGGAAAGTGCATTTATTTAGTCAAATATTTTGTTAATGTTCGTTGATAAAAAAGTTGATATCAAAAATGTGGTATGTTGAAAGTGCGAACGTCACGACTTTTTAACCCCGTATATATTATTCAAATCAAACTCAGAGTCAGTGAATGCCAATATAGGTTTTTTTTTCAAATTTGCATGTACGTACGTACATGTGTGTATGTGGGCAAAACGTCGGGTCTTCGATTTACTTCAAGGCTAAGCGGGCCCTTGACATTGAGTTGCTCATTGATCACGCCGATAAATATCCCTTTACCTGTCAGAATTATGGATAAATTAGGTATAAATTATAAAGATAATGAGCAGTAGCCCTAATGTATTAGTTAATATTACGCACACGACACATAGGACAGTATTGATGATTCAGTGGTCCAACTTTATGTGATATCACTATTGCTTATTTACATTTTCTGAAGAGAGTCGAATCCCAGTTAAAAAGCGTTGTACAACTGGATCTGTGGCACATTTTTATTTCTGCAGTTCAGCGCTCTAGATGGCAGTCTTTCTGAGAGAGATTAATTCAAATTTAACAGTAAAAGTAGCATCCCAATTTTACGATGAATTATAGCTTGATTACATTTACCGGGTTCATCCTATGCGTTTTGTCAGGACTGGTTCTCAGCCGTAAGCTATCTCATAAGGACTTACCTTCAAGAAAGTGTTTAAAAAAGTGTTCACTTACAGAAAGGAGATGCCGCAATCCGAATAATAAAGAAGGTTTGTGCGTCCAATACCGGAACTGCCCATTCGTACAACATGTTCATAAATTGTACCAAGATCACATACCTAAACGCATTATTACTCAGCTCACGTTGATGCTCATGCAGTGCCCTGCCTCTCCGAATGTAAGTTTAACCAAATACTTAATGACATTTAGTAGCTTTTGCATGTGAAACGGTCTTTGATAATCTTAAACTTAATATCATGTTATTTTCAGCTTTTCTGTTGCCCAATCCAGGCGCCATTTCAAAGAATAGAAATGCGAATGGAGGACAGTAGACTGAGCCACTATGACCAGGCTGGCCTTAAACTTCTGCAGTCGGTAAAAAACTGCGGTAACAAAAGCAATCCCAAGGTCAGCGGAGGAAGAAAAGCCAAGCCTGGTGAATTTCCCTGGATAGCGTTGCTCAAGTACGACAAGGACCCAAAAGGAGAGATTATCTGCGGCGGGAGCCTCATCAGCGAATGGCACATCCTGACCGCCGCCCACTGCATCCTCAATCGTCCTCAAGTGTAAGTTCCTTATTGAGTTCGTCACCTTACAGGAATTTTTTTAATTGGTACTAATAGTGATTAATCAATATTGTTGTTATTTAATGATCTTATTGCTGACTAATTTATGCCTTACAGGACCGCAGTACGTTTGGGAGAGCACAATTTAGATACGGAGAAGGACTGCCAGGAATTGGGCGGACAAAGTGTGTGTATTCCGCCTTACGAGGAGTATGGAGTACAGGAAGCAATCGTGCATCCCGATTACGTTCATGGCAATATCCATTATGACATAGCCATCATCAAGCTAAACCGACAGGTGAAGCCAAAATGGCACATTAAGCCCGTATGCCTGCCGATCAATGAGCAGTCACAAAGTCTATCCTACGACCAGAGCTTCTTCGTCGCCGGATGGGGAAAAACGGACAAAACGGATGCCCCCACCACGCTCCATCGAACTCTTATAACCCGAGCGAATCTAGACGAGTGCCGGATGTTTTACAACAATACCGATGTCAATGACAAGCACATTTGCGCCAAGGGGAAGGATATCAAGCACACCTGCAAAGGAGACTCCGGAGGTCCGGTATTCTTCAAGCACCCCTTCGGGAATACCTACCGCACTGTCCAGTACGGAGTAGTCTCCTTGGGCGGAAACCAATGCGGCGTGACCAAGAGACAGCCGGGGATCTTTGCTAGCGTCATCGCCATGTTGCCGTGGATCACCCAGCAACTCCTGTAGTGGTCTTTCCACTCACGTTACAATTGTATTTTATGTACGGTAGTGGGATGCCTTATTTATTATGCCATATTTATTAAATAATATGTACAATTAATTACAATTCATGTAAAGATTTTAGTTCTCTCCATAGTCGGTCTAATATTTATATCTACATCACAAGACACTGCAGACCGATGACGGAATGTTAGCTTAAATAAAATTTTTGATGATGATGATTCACAATCTAATAAACCCACAAAAGAAATACTATAGTAAGCACACGGCTTATACGACTGATTAAGATTTTTATACCCTTGCAGAGGGTATGTACCTTTATAGATTATTTATTTATTGTTTAATTGATTCCAATGTTTTATAAAATTTTTTAAGGACAATTTAATGTTCAATTAATTGATTTATATGTGCTATAAAATGTTTAAAAAAAAATTGAATGGTCAAAATACATTTATCTGATTCACTGGAGTTCTACTTTTTATAAACTTGTCAGCTTTTAAAATTAGATTTTGGGATACATAAATATTAGTCACACCGTTTCATTCATACAATGCCACAACATTTTGTTTAATTTTGGGAAAACTGCTAAAACTGTTGACTCAGAGAAAAATTTATTGAAACAATTTTTAGCTCAGCCTCTTATAATCGATGCATAAGTAAAATGGATGAAGTCTTACACATAGTTGTCAATTAAATTAGTCATTGTTAACGTCGCTTTAGTTTTAAGTACCAGGCCTATCTCAGAGGGTGATCACTCAATAAAAACGTGATATCTCAGTAGCTTCGGAATTACAAAAATCTGTAACAGCATTACACTAAACTCTTTTTATAATTAATTCAAAGTCCGGCATTTGATCGAGAGAACTCTGAGTCACCTGCAAAGGTAAAATCGTCGGAGGGTTGGTAATTTGCGGTTTGCTGCTGCACTTATTGTTTAGATAAACATTTTTTCAATTCAATACTAATAGATTACAACAACAATTACAATCAATAACAATAACTGGCCTATGCACTTGATATGCACTTGATATGGCCAATATGATTTATGGTTTTTGGGACAAACATTTAAATAATCACCAGGCGCGTCTGTTTAATGTTAGCTTTAACATTGAACTAAATCCAAACCAATAAAACAGGGTAGTTCATAAAATGAGGTCCAAGCGGGAAACAATGGATAGATTGATATCTTATTCCTATTGTTACTGAATGCCAACGGCAGAAAAGGATTCGAAAGTAAAAGTTGACAAGGCAGTTCGTTTTTTTCCGCCAGATAGTTCACAATGCAAATGCACTGTAGTCGCTTTCATGGGTTTTTATTAAAGATGTAAGTTTATTTAAATGAGGTTGTACCTACCATGAAGCTCACTTTAATTCAGGACACTTTACTTGGTAACCTTTTACCATACTCTGCCCTTTTTTGGGAGAGTTTCTGTGTCCTTGCTGAACAGTTTTTTATCCTCGTCGGTCTCCTTTAACTTGGACACGATTTAGTAAGTTTACGATTGGATTTAATTTTAGAGGCACTATTTTTACTTAATACTACTTAGCTTGAACTGGAACTCGACCTTCCCGGCCATCACTGTTTGCGAGATATACAACGCCGAAAGAATTTGGGACTTGAGTGACTCAAATTTTGGCGTGGAACACGATATGCATGTCGATGACTTCATCTCCGAAATTGTATTTTACCGCGGGGTCTGTAGCAGCTGCGAGGATTGCTCCAAGCTGCGATGTCCTGCCAACTTTACCGTGCTTGTGGATATGGTGGGTCGATTTATACACTTCCTTGAAAATGGTTCTTAGGTAATGAGTCCTCGTATCCTTGCAGTTCCGTTCCAATTGTCATCAGTTGCTGGTGAACTGCAGCTACCTGAACGAATTATTCGACTGTTGCGATCAGTTCCTGCCACTGCAGACGGAGTACGGACTGTGTTACTCCTTCAACTCGCACCAGGCTCGCAAAGTGTCCCATGTGCAGTTCACCAATAACCGGCAGACGGGACCGGGACATATAAATTTCAATGCCGCTGCCGATATCCAGTTGTATGTGCATGCGCCTATCGATGTGCCTTACCAGTTCTCAGAGGGGATGATCCGGGAAACGGTGCTACTCGGCCACTACAAGGAGCTGATCTTGAATGTTATAGAGGTGCATAACGACGAGAGTGTCCACGATCTTAGTATGGACCAGCGGCGTTGTCGCTATGGCAACGAGCACGTTGCAGAGCGGCAGGGCATCTATGAGTTCTATAGCTACTCCGGATGCGTAGTGGAGTGGTAACTACTGATTAATTTAAAGCTTATTAAACAGACTTATCAGCATGTTAAAATTTCTATTCATAAAGCACGGTGCTTTTGCAGCTGGAAAATTGTAACTGCACCAGCCACTTTATGGCCAATCCCGGACAGAATTCCCTGCCCGCTTGTGACTACCGCGGCCTGATCTGCCTCACCAAGATCCGCGACAAGATCATGACGGAGCGCAAGACCTGCGAGTGCATGAGCTCCTGCGAGGAGCCGGAGTACAACATTATTTATAATTCACCAGATGAGTAAGTAACTTATTACTTTAATTTTTCTTACAATTTATTAAACAAAATAATTAAAAGAAAGATAAATTAGGGGCAAAATACAAAAACAATAAATCAGGATGTGTCGATTTGTGTCATAAACTAAATAACAACAAATGAATTTTTTTTTAACATTTTTAAACTATATTATTAGTTTTCAATCTACTTAAAAATATCTTTCACGAGTGATGAAATCATTAACTGCATACACCCGTTTAGTGATCCCCAAAAGATCTATGCTCTTGCCTTATTACTCATTTTGTTCTATTTTATTTTATTTTTATCACCATATGTCACCAAATTAAAATTATTTTTAACAAGGGTAAAAAAACCGTTTTTTAATTTATCAGAATTATTTCAATAAGTTTTAATTTTCAAAGTTTCGACCAAAATATTACTTTTTGAGGGATATTTCTGGAACTCCAGTTAAAACCAGTTTATTAACGATAACAAAAATGTCTGTGCTATTACCTGCCATTTAAGGTCTTACCCTAGGATACTAACTAGTGTACTATAATAAAAAAAGTATAACAAAAGTGAAAAACTACATATCTAACATTTTAAACTTCCTTAAGTCTTAATTGACCCTTTAAGTATTAATTGCTAAATATTTAAGAATTCAAGAAGATAAACTTGTTGGGGAATATGTTCAACAAGCCAACAATTTTTGAAAATAGCCGAGAAAGCCTAAAATATCTTTTTGGCGACATAAGCTCAAGGAAAATTATCTCGGTATATAAGCATTTCTTTCTGATTCTAGGGATGACGAAGCCTCGGATGACGTCTCGAAAATCCGAGTGGCTCTGGTAGAGCTACCCACACAGCGATATGTTCGTCGGGTGACTAAAACTATCCTGGATTTCTTAAGTAAGCTACAAAGTCTGCATAGATAACTATAGCTTGGAATTCGAGCTTTCTCTTTTAGTTTCCCTTGGAGGTCTGGTTGGGCTCTTCTTCAACACATCCGCTTTGCGAATTGTGGAGGCCATAGTAATCTGCCTGCGATATAGAAAAACCATGGTAAAGTGGGTTAAACGAATTTTTCTTGGCACGGTGAAATATTTACAGATCTTGAACCCGTCGAAGTGAATCACAATTATATAATAAACATTAAATTAAAGTTGTCTTTCGATAAGGGTTATGTGTGGGCAAGGAGTTGTAACAGTTTATATACACTTGTGGTGGAGGAAGCTCAGCTCCGTGTCATTTTCTGTGCTGCATAGGCTGCATTTTCCGGGGACTTGTTGTGCCAGGTGGGCGGCGTCAAAAACTGAAGCAGGGTTTGCAGATAGTCAGGCAGATACATGAAGCTGGAGAAGATTACCAGGGAAAGCATGATCAGGAAGAATCCGTCTGGTGGGAAAATATTCCGGGTTAGTCTTGCTAAGTCTGGGATCTTCAATACTCACTGATTAGTTTCTTTTCCCAGGGCTCCAGCATATTGATGCACGTTACCAGTTCGTACTGACGGTAGGCATGGGAAGCAAATTGCTTTAAATTCATCATTATCGGTGACTAAAGTCCAACAAATTCGCGTCGCAGGAAATGTAATGCAATTGATAGTAAACAAAACAACATATGATTAAAGTGTGACAAAAGCTGGCCGTCATAAAAAGGAATTTTTGTAAAATATACTAGCAAAATAAAGTAAATATTAAATTGATTTTCGGTAGTTTAATAGTTTGAGGAACTCATTTAATTCATTAATATTGTCGAATTTAATCAGAAACATGATTTTTAAGCGGTACCAACCACAAAATGATTTAAACAAATTTAAATTTTGGTATTTTTTATCTATCGATAAATTGCATATATAGCAACAAGCTTTTGATAGCCCAATGGCCTGTTAAATTAACATTGAGTTGCATGTTAGTAAAACATAGCTGTTAAGTCATATGGCGCGGTTGTTTTGATTACTTTTTTAGAAAGTATGCTTTTAAAAGTGTTTTTTATCTGTTCACAAGGATTATAATAAATATAAAACTATATGCTTTAGCTTATAGTAACTCTCTGAAAACCTCGTGAGACCTCCAAAAACTTTTGCAGACACTGGCAAAGAAATGGATAGTCCTACTGTGTCCAGCGAAACCCTTAACTTATTTGATAACTCCTGCTGGGACATCTCACAAAGTACCACGAATAAAATTTTGACAGGGAACAATGCCCTGGACAGTTTTTTTGGAGGTGGAATATCCTTGGGTCAAGTCATAGAATTGATTGGCAATTCGGGCAGCGGAAAAACGCAAATGTGGTGAGTTTGTTGGTTACTTACAAAAATGTACAGATTAAATAATGTATTTATTTATTTAGTTTACAGCTGTGTCTAAATGTGCAAATACCAAAGCATGCTGGCGGCTTGGAAGGAAGTGCTTTGTTTATTGACTCACGACAGGACTTTCATCCAGACAGATTGCTGGGTAAGTTTTTCGAATAAACTATTTTACTGTATTCAAATCCTTTTTTTCGTATAGGCTTAGCTCAGGAACTGGAAAAGCAATATAAACACAAAGAACCAGAGTTTAAAGCCCTTGAAATGCTGAAAAAAATCCACTATGTGAGATGTCCAAATGTGGTTCAGTTAATGGCCACCGTCTTAAGTTGTCACAGGCACCTCGTAGATCATCCTGATGTAATTTATATTTAATAACTTATTTAGGTTTTCTTTTAAAGACTAAAAAAGTCGAATTGATTTAATCTTGAAAGATAAACTATTTTTCTATTCATATATTTTTAAAATGACGATTTATAACTCTAAATGGATTCTTATAGGTCAACAGAAACTTGTTGCAAATATTTATCAAGGCAACTGCCACTAAAAAACTTAACTGTCTCTATAGATAAAACTGATTGTAATCGACTCCCTGGCATTTTCGCTGCGAATGCTCGAAGATGGCGCCAGGCGTTACGAGCTGCTCCTGGAACTGCATGAAAGCATGAGAAGACTGCAACGTCAACACGAATTGGCCGTAAGTCCTTCGGAATGATCCATTTCCTTTTGCTTTCATAATCCCATCCCGTGGCAGTGGGTCGTCACCAATGTGCTCACACATCGCTGCATCAAAGAGCGGTTCCATGTGGAGCCCGCCTTGGGGGACCAGCATTCACACCTGATCAATGAGCGCATCTGGTTTTCGGGCACCTCAGAGCGTTACCTGGGCAAGTCGTGGAGAACCAGCAGATTAATTAAGGAGGCCGACTGAAGATGGATTGGGTTTGCCTTTTACTTGTTGTTAATTTTAAAAAATATGTTTAGATACTGAATTGTCATATTTTGCAAAACTTAGAATTATCAAATATATTATGTTAGTCTATATGTAAAACCAAAAAATAATTATTGGTCGCCGAATCTGGCTATTATAAGTATTTGTACCCGAAAATATTAAGTTTATTGCAGAAATTGTTCTTTATCTACTTTAAATGTGTTGCCAAAAACTTGTTGAATCAACTTGAGAACTTTATTTCTTTGTTAAAAGTGTTGATGAAATTTTTAAGTAAATACTTTTCCTAAAGACTTGTATTTTTTGGTAATAAAATCCTATCCACATAACACATCTAATAAAGTTAAACAAATAGCGTACAGTAATGTTCCCACTTCGTTTTCCCCCATTTTCGCAGATAAAGAGTATCTTCAGCGCTTTGAAGGGAAAACAGGATCCTGAGCTACTTGCCATAATTTGCATTGGCACAGAAACGAAGCCACAACTAGCGCACACCCAGCCAGCTGTTGAGCACTTGCTAAAAGCTCCTCCGGTCACCTCCACTTCACGAAGACCACGATGCTATCGATGGCGCAGTTCCAGATTGACAGGCGAGCACTGCCTGATTTATGCGCGCGGCGCAGGAATGTGGCAAAGTGTAAAAAGTGTTTACACATACGAACGGCGACACCCAAACCAGACTGCTGCTCTCTAGCTCGCGGGCTTTTGATTGTACACGTAGAAAAATTTAAGAAAACAAAAAAAAATGTTTTAATAATTGATAAAACTCTTTTTTGTTGATATTTAATTTTTAAAATTATTACTTTAAAATATTACTGCTCATTGTTTGTAAAAAAACATGTCTTACATACCACTTATCTTTCGCGAAGTATCTTAAATAAGGAATTTCAAATAGAGAAAATATTTCAGAGTTTATTAAACAGGATTATTAAATTAAGTAATCTTCTAAAGACCATATTGATTTAATGTAATTTTTGGTGTATGTTAGTGAAACTAATGTTTTTTTGTCAGCTTTCCAAGAACTAGAAAGGTGCCAAAAAAAATTTCCAATTGAAATATTTTTTATCGAATCCATTTTTTGGTTAAAGTATGAATGAATGGCAAAATTTAATGTAACGTGCATCCCCAGAGCTGATCATGGAGCCCCTGGCAGCAGCTACATAGTCACGCATATGCAGCGACAACTAATTCAATTTCCACTTGCCAGAAGGAGGCGGCTGTTTAGTCGAGTGTGCACGCCTAATTGGTAATGCGATCGGCTTTATTGAGGCACTGTTGTCGAAGCAGCACTTGTGGCTATAGCTCTACCCATATAGCTCTTGGCTTCGGATCTGAATCTGTGGATGTGACTGGGCCCCGTTGCCTGCTGCAGTTGCTGCAGTCACAGGCTATCGCTGTCGCTCAGCGCAAATCCCATTACGTGCGATCCGTTTCGAGCCATAAACATGTAACAGCTGCACACCCCTTCCCAGTTACCACCGATTCCACCCGATCCTAGCCGAGTTTCCTGGCTTCCAGCGGCGCAACTTGTCGCTCGAACTTAATTGCCTCGGTTGCGCTTATGACTCTCGTGTGCAATGCATCCTCATCCACATCCACATCTCCACTCTACTGCAGCATTAGAAAGTAACTCCAGCCGGCGAAAAGCTAAAGCTATCAACATCGGGCTCGCATCGTCTTCGTCGTCAACGCTCGCCTGTCGCTTTCGCAGTCGCAGATTTGCTGGCGCTATTTTCGACACTGCCTGGCCCGCCATAAATTTCCGACTGCCCTGCAATGCACTCAGGTCTCAAAATTAGAAAAAGTCTGCCTCAGCTAGCTGCACCTGAAAAATTATACGGTTTTATCACTATAGCTCGAGTATTTGATTTCAGATTTAAAAGCGTTTATTTTAACCGAAGCTTAAGGTGATGGTAAATATAAATGTTGAAAATAATTATTTTTAAGCAACACAATTTGAATTCGTTTTTGACAAATGACTATAATCCAAGATAAATAAATAAAGCATTGATCGATATAATCTTAGATTCTCTCTTTTGCAATATTTCAACCGATATTGCTACATAAAAATATATCTGTTCGACTGTTACATTTTCATTTCCAAGTTGATCAACTTCTAAATTTTAAACTCCTTTATCAATTTAATACATACAATTTTTATTTAAAAAAGAATTATCATTTGGTTTTCTTTGTGTGTGCCTAATTTAGCAAGCTGGCAAGTTGAAAGTCCATTTTCCATTTCGTACGGGTTTCAATTAAAACAAAAAGCAAAAAGCCAACAAACATTCCGGTGCCGAGCATGGCCTGGCAATTTGGCCACGACCTCGTGCACCGCCAAAGTTCAGGCCCGAGTGGCTAATTCCGCAACACCGCGACCGCCCCGATGGCAGCACCCGATAGCAAGATCCACAAGCTCAAACTCCAACTCCAGCAGGAGGAGCCACTCTGGCCGTGAGATAATCAAATGTTGGCCAAAAAGGATTGCACTCACCTCGGCCGTCGCCTGGCTTATTGTTCTGAGAAATTGTTATTAATTGAGTTGTACGTTGCACCTGGCAAGCATCGATTTGGAAAGAGTTCTACTGATCGTTTTATCTGCTGCCCAGTGGGTGGCCCTTCAGCATCGGCCATTGATATACTAAATTGCCCGGCTCCGCTCATTTGCCCAATTTAATTTGGCCTGGCCATCAATAAGCATAGAGCTGAGCCGCGATCACGCCTCATTTGCATGCCCGTAATTTATGCTCATCAATTAGCTGATTAATCTATTTAGCGTGGAGCGAGAGCGGAGCATCATGCTCAAAACGCTTGTCTAATTAGACAAATGCGCTACATTAATGTCGCCTCTGACATTTATAAACCGTGGTTCTGCCACAGATGGGTGATTTTTCACTGCTTTTGGTTCCTCTTTCTTTTTGAGGTGGCTTTGGGGGGTTTGGTAAATCAATTAATGTCTGGCTAAGAGGGGTTAAACTGGCAGTGGGATTATCTCCTAGTGTTTTGACATTCAAATCAAATTATTCATTTTAATTTCATAATAACGAAAATTGTAAAAGACTTTGGTTTTCGGGAATTTGTAAAGTTCCTAACCAATTTGTAAAAATTAAAATACTTTTCTCCAAGTAATATTTTAAACACATAAATATAAGAAGTTCACATTTTAAAAATGTATATCATTAAATTAGATTACTATTTGATTTCATACTTCGACTTTCTCTCAGACGCTTCCCAGATCTATTAGCCAATCAATTCCCCAACTAAATTAGTTTATAATGTTGCTTATAAATGCCACTTGTCCAGCAAGACGCGGATGTGCCTGGATCTTGATCCAGTCGCAGCGTCTTTCTCAGCGGCAATCTTCGCCTGTCGCCGGCGCAGGGGAAATGAAAATATTTTAATTAAAACACAAACTAAACGTTTACTGCTGGCGATGTTATCCGCAGCATTTCATACAAATAACAACGACAAGTCTAACCTGGCTACCAGTTGGTTGGTTCGACTCCTCCAGGAGCTCTGTGTTGCTGTTGCTGCTGCGTGCAACAAATACGGCCAATGTTGCATGTAACAGCAGCAACATGTGTCGCACAGCGCCTATTTGAATATATATCAAATCAGTTTCAGATAATTTTCTATAACAGCTCGACACACAGGCAAATGGACGAAACATTTGTACGAGTTCGTTGTCTAAGTCTTTCGTTTTGCGAGCCATGTTGTTGCTGTAGTTGGTGTTGCTGTTGCAATTGCTCCTGCTGCTGCTGCCTGCGAGTGCATATTTTACGCGCTGCATTGTTGCAAACGGATCGGGCCTCGAAATTAAGTTGTTTTGCATAAAAGCGCCATAAAAAGGCGCAGCCGCGGCAGAGGCAGCAATTGTGATTAGAACGACACGACAGGCACGACATGCGACATATGAGACGCTGCTTTTGCCGCAGTTGCTGCTGTGGCTGCAGTGCCAGTTGCTGCTGCTTTTGCGGCCTTACATATATGGCCAGCAATTGTCGGTCGAAAATTGGCGGCTCAACACGAGCGACGTATGTCATCAAATGGCACTGCCATTAGCGATCGCCAAAGAGATCCTCGAGCGGAGGTTCGCGTCGGTGGCAGCTTCCTGCGGCCTGTAGGCAAATGCTAGACCCAGCTCCTGGAACCCCTCGCTGCGGCAACTATTATCAATTTAAGTTGGCTAATTGGTTTCAAATTTATGGACCTGTATTTGATATTTATGTCGTCTACGAGAGCGGTGTGCCTCGCAATTTCGCCTGTCTGCCGGCCAAGAGGCCCTGGCAATATGGCCCGTTCCGATCCGATCCGATCCGACCGTCGCTGCCTTGGCATGCTGCAAACAACGTAATTGGCTTTCAATTTGCTGCAAATTGTTGCAACAGCCACGACAACGGCGCAAAGAGCAACCGAGAAACATATTTAGATTATAGACGGATAAAGTTTATGTTCGTTCTGTTCTGGCCGGGCAACTTTAGCTCGAGGACTGGCCCGCTGGCCCTCTTCTTCTGCTGGCCCCTTCCACCATAATTCCAATGAGTTATATGCCCATCATGTGCGCTCCTTGGCCCTTCAAAGTTGAAAACGTATCGCGCGTTAATTAAAAAACAGCAACAACCACCGAAACATCAGCGGAGCTCTTTGCAGGAAAAATAATACAGAAAAAAGCGCCAAAAATGCCGCTAAAATTTCGCCTGGCAGCAGCGGTTCGAAAAGGGCGGCTACCAAAGTCCCAGGCCTTGGATAGCACTGTTCAATAACTAAATAAAACACTTGGGCCGTCATACACAGAAACGAATTTCGAAATGATTTTTAAGACTTTCAATAAGTCTCATAAATGCAAATACAAACTATTTAAGTTGTAAATCTTATTGTATTTAAATGATAATACGAAATAAAAGTAGGATTTATTATTATTAAAAAAAATACTATTTTTAATCTTAACTTCAAAAAATCCCACCCGATTTAACATTTGAACCCTTTTAAGCTGTGTAAGCTGTGAAATTTATTACGATTTAAACACAACCCTTTAAAGTTTTATTGCCAAATTATGAACACGGCGAAATATTTAATATACAAAAATTTTCTCGTTATTAGTTTTTTTGGTGACCGCCTAAAAAAGAATCTTGAAAGAAAGAGCAGGGGTGATGCATTTTTTGTTTAAATGAGGCAATTCGATTTTGATCCGTTAAAAGCTAGTTAAAATTGTTAAATTTTTTTGTGTGCAGAATCGAATATAAGAGAACGAGAGGCAGCCACAATCAAGCGAAAATTCCTGGCATTTTCTGCTTCATTAACAACACACTCATACACGAGAACCCGGCCATTTCGTTTTGTTCGAGCCGAGCTTAGCTGACGAAATTTACGCACGTTGAGGTAGCCCCCGCCACCACCCCCCTCTGAATCCACTTCTCCGGGCCTTGATCATCCGCTGAGCTTAGTTTTGTGTGTCGGCCGACTCTTTTTGGTATTTTAATTAGAAACCGAACAACGCAAAATGCATTGCTCGCTGGCCGATTTCGCTTTCTTTCCTCCTGGCCTTCTGATCTGTTTCGCCAGTTTCTCCATTTGTGCCCCGATCCGAGATCCGCCGTCCTGTCCTCTGATTCGATCTGTTGTAGTGCCCAACTTGCATTTGGTTTTCACATTCAATTAGCGCATATTTCAAATGCGATCGCCGCCATCACAGGCGAACATATTTTTGTTCGATCCAGACAAGTCCAAATGGCAGGAAATGATTTCAATGGAAAAAAGAAGTTCTGCAGTTCATATCTACCCTATACAATAGGAACATTTCCAAGGTTCATAAAAAAATGTATTCGTTAAAGAGGGAAGGAAATGTTAGTTAAAAAAATAGTTATTTAAGATGATTCTAAGCCGACGAAATGATACTTACCAATTAAATATAAGCCTTTATATTTCCCATTCCCAAAAAAACAAACTGCCATCAGATTATTATTTTCTTTACTATCTTTATTGATATTGCTTTATTGCTGCTAGATCAAAGTTAATATAATAAATAAATATTACTACACACATAGGTATAATACAATACAAAATCGCTTGAATCTTATCCGGTTACACAGCTACCTAACTACGATCATAAGTCTAAATTATTGCGTACAATTGCAAACAACTTTTAAAGTCTAACGCGTTGCGGCTGGGGCTTAGCTAAGTTCTAGGATGCTATCTATAGACAAAATACAATAACGGTAACTGCTAATTTACAGTATTTACAGCTTATGCTTATACACCATATAGAGCGCGCCGATCCTAGATGAGAACTATATACAGCTTGTTCTAGCCAAGGAGTTGGTTTTTTTAATATATTTTTACTTTTAAATAAATGTAAATGCGCGCCTGGGTTACACTAAATATCACACTGTGTAGGATGTTGCTTAGCGAAGAGAAGAGTTCGGAATTAAACTAGCTAACTTACTTATGTGGGTGGGTGTCCACAACGATCTAGCTCTGCGGGAAACACCGGCAGAAATTCCTCATTGAAATAGTCGGATTCCTTTAACTCGAACCACACAAAAAGTTATACTTATAGAAAACTGGAAGTTATGCAATTAAGTGTATTTCTAAACTCTAATGCCATTGAAACTGGTTTTGACTTAGGATAAGATCAGGCACACAAATAAATTGGCTCAAGCTGTGGCCATGAAAAGCTTGATAACTTGCAAATGTCTTTAAATTATTTGTGTACATAATCTTACCTTAATGGACTGGAGATATGAAAGCTTAAATTAGAAAAGTTCGATTAAATGTGGGCTTCCTGCAGAGCCACTTCGTTGTGGGCTAACCCGTAAGGCTAAATCGATTCCTAGTTTAAATTACGCTACTAATGCACTTGGAAATCGCGCCCGTGCTGTGGCAATTGGAACTTTGAGCTGGCTGTGGGCGGCTGGTTGGTTTCTTGATTGGTTGATTGGTGGCTGAGATCACGGCTAAACCATCACAGTGGTGGCAAGGACATCGGAGGCCTCGTCGCCCGAAGTGGGTGGCAGGGACTTGCAGTTGATCGACCGCTTGCCAAAGTCCTTCCGCGGACTGTCCAGCGAGCCCACCGTGTTCTTTCGCATGTCCGAGTTCTGGGTCTTGTGCAGCAGGATCTGCGAGCTGCGCTTGTGGGCCTGCTTCAAGCCCGTACTGGAGTCGAGTTCCCGCTCGAAATCGCAGGGCGGAAACAAGGGCTGCGATCGGTGCAAAGCGGAACTACTCGCCGCCGAGGCAGCTAATTCGGGAGCGGGATTCAGGCTGAGTTCCATCCCGGTGGCCGCCCGCAGTGAGCTGGTGCTGCCCTTCAGCGGGTTCGTATACCTCCGTAGGTTCTCTTCGTTCTGCAGGTTATTCGACTTCTCCTCCTCGTGACGCAGTGCATCCAGCGAGGGAGTCAGGTTCATTCCCGAATTGCTGCGGTAGGCCAGCCGCTGCTTCCAATACAGACTGATAAACACCGAGAAACCCACCAGGACTATAAAGACGCCGCAGAGCACTCCAATCAGCAGACTGTGACCCGATCCATCGGCCACTAGAGCTGTTTCCAACTTGACCTCCACAATGGAGGTCAGGGCAGCCAGCTTGGCGTGCTGCAGCTCCAGTTCCTTGCGACGCTGGATGCCATTCAATTGCCGCGAGCTCAGTAGTTCACCCAGCAGGCCCACCGCCACCGGCAACTGGGGATCATTCAACCGGGTCGAGGACTGGAAATAAAGAGAGAATTAATTGTTAGGTTTGGTTTGGGGTGAAACTCAGTAATATATTTAGGGTTTTCATTGACACTAATTAATTATTAAAGATCGTATTGGCATTTACTAGGGACTTTGATTTATTTTAACTTATGATTATTTAAGAACTGGTAAAACACTTTATAATTACTTATCATGTACAAATTATTATTTAAATTAAAAGAAAAGTTAATTTTAACTTTATTTTTGTATATTTAAAACAAATAAGGGAATACTAGATAACACTTATTAAACAAAATTGTCTAACACTTACCGCAGTCAGTTCGACGGTGTCGTTGGTGCCCGTCTTTAGATCGCAAAGCACCATGAGCATGCCCTGTTCCTGGCCAGAAGCACTCGAAGGCTGTTTGACCAGCTGGGCTGCCAGGAGGATCCTTACCAGCGAGCACAGACCCTCCACCGACGCCCCCTTGCCCACCCTCTCGAGGGCCATGAGGATGGTCAGCCGAGCGCAGTTCTCGTTGACCACGGCTTGATTTGGCCAGCAGCTGGATTTGGCTGGAAGACTCGGAGGGGCAACCCGTCGCGAAGGTTCCAGGGCTCGACAGTCTCCGCGGACATCGCAGGGTGCGGAGAGACAGGTTTCGCTCAGTGCCGGTACACACACCTCGTGCTGTTTGCAAACTCCAGACAAATTAGAGGACTTCGAGAGGGGATCCACCTTATAACAGTTGGGCAATCCACACCAGAGATTCGTGCACCGGGAGGTGCCATTCTCGCAGACACAGGCATTGCAGTTCTCATCGTCATCACTTCTTCCCGTCAACGCGATGTCCAGCCAGTTTTGGCTTCGGTTCAGAGCGGTATAGGGGGTGATGGTGTTGCTCACGTTCAGGCAGGCGGACTTGGGATCAGAGAGCACTATAAAATAAGGTTTAAAAAAAAATTATAGTGATATAAAAATTAGTTGCTTGGAATCTTGGGAGCGATATTCTATTAGTGCCAATTTAAACAGACTGGACTTACTAAATACACAGAATAAATCAATATATCACAATGTGTATATCTAAAAATTACAATGTATATTTATTTTACTATTGAACGTTTACTTACAAATTTCACATCGAACTCCATGACGTCCCGGCGGACAGATGCAGCTATATCCGCCGATTCCATCGATGCAGGTGGCTCCGCCTTGGCAAGGTTGTGGCGAGCACTCGTTAACGTTGATTCGGCAGTCCGGTCCGGAGAATCCCTGGGCGCAGACGCAGCGGAACCAGCCCGCTCCCGACTCGCAAGTGCCGCCATTGTGGCACGGCTGTCCGCGGCACTGGTCAATGGCCTCGGCGCAGAAAAGACCCGTCCAACCGGGCGCACAGCGGCAATGCGGCTGCAAAGCCTTGTCGGCGGCTCCGGGCATGCAGGTCCCACCATTCTGGCACTGACCGGCATAGCAACCTGTGGCCCGCTCTGAACAGCGTTTACCTACACAGGGAAAAAATTTAAAACATTGTTAATACAAAAAATCATAGGGAATCTTTATTATGGCCTTACATCATAAAATTATAAATTTACTAAATTCCTTGCAAAAAAAATTGTTCAGTATCAAAAGACTTAAGCAACGAACTTGCTAGGAGAGTGGGAGTTAAACAAAATTGTCAATATACTATTTTTAAAAAATGCTGATGACAAAATTGTTTTCGTGCAAAAATAAACTTCCCAGAAACGAAAGACTTATTGGGAGTGTGGGAGTTTTACTTTATAGAGAGAGGATTGCCATGACCGCTTGGCTTGGCTTGAACTAATTGAAAAGTAAAAGTGTGCCGACATAGATCGATGTGGCTCTGTCCGTATCTAAACTGTGGCCAAATCTATTTTCATTTTCTGTGTCTGTGTCTGTGACAAAAAAGCGAAACGCGTGAAATATGCAAATCGCAAATTAAAAACAAACATAAATCATGGCAAAGGTTCGGCCTAGCTGCGGCTGGCCCCCCTCGGAGTTTGGAGCTGCCACATGTGGCAATTACATTCGCCGGCTTCGACGACTGCGACTAACGCGCAGATACTTTTTTAAAGCTTCGCGGCTCAGCCGCATTCGCTTCAATTTGAGGCCGTAATGACTGCCGACTTTCAATGTTCAAATAAATGCGACCGACTCGACTCGATCGTGTGTGTGAGAGCGTAGCGCTTTTAACGTGGCCAACACTCGTCTCGCGCCCATTTAAAGCCCCCAAGCGTTAATAATGCGCCAGTCAGCCAGTCGGCTTACAGCAGGTTTTTATGCCCTTTCGGAAGGAGTAGTAAGCACTATTCAGCGAGGCTGTAAATGGTTATCGGAGGTCTTAAAACTTCTTGTGAATTGGTAACCAAAAAATCTAGAATTTCCTGAACTTTGACCCTGAAGTATTATTGAATTATTTGCAACTTTAATTCTTAAATCCCATATGCTGACAGAAGTGAGAATAATATTAATACCTAAAAATGTTTACCTAATAATAATTTTTAGGATTATAATAAAACTTCAAAATAGTTAAAGAATATCAATAATAAGTTGTAACATTGTAAGGCGAACTTATAAATGAATGAACTTATAATTCATTTGTTAATCCCAATAACAAGACTGCCCAAGGGTATTTTGCCTGCGGCCTAACTCTACTCTTGCGGCATGCACTTGTTGCAACGCTCACGGCCGCTTAAAGCGCACCCGACTCAACCCGGCTCAGTTCGTCTCAGTTCAGCTGAGCTCATCTCATCTCATCCCAAACCGACGCGACTCACCTGTCCAGCCCGACATGCACTCGCATGTAAAGTCGCCGTCGCCGTCAAGGCAAATTCCCCCATTTCGACAAGGATTCGGTGAGCATTCGTTGAGATCTGCGGAAAGTTAATGAGTTTGCCGTCTTTGGCAGTGGATCGGGATTACTCACTGTGCTCACAGAAGGTGCCGGTGTGGCCCACATGGCATTTGCAGAAGGTGCCCACGTCGCTCATCTCGCAGCTGCCGTGTCCGCTGCAGGGCAATCCGCTCGGCTTGGTCATCTTCCTCGCGGTTGTGGCAGAAGTGGTTGTTGTCGTCGTCGTTGTCGCCGCTGTCGCAAGGCTGACATTGGCAAAGCAGCCCTCTGTTGGATTGAGGGACATGATTAGGCTTATTATTGCAGGGTTACACTTCAAAAAAATGGGCACTTCATGGCCAAAATATTAAATATTGACTCTAATAAACATCCGATTCTAGAAGGATAAACTCTATCAAACCATTTCTCTACATTTTGTTAGTTTTTACATTATTATATTTTTATATGCCGATTGAACTAAATTCTTGTTTAAAAGTAAAAAAGCCTCTTAACTTAAATGTTCTTTAACTAGTTTCCGTTAATTTTTTTTAGAGTTCATATGAAAATTATTAAATATTATAATTAGATACGTACGATAATACGTTTTTGAAAGTGGCTAATTGATTGCCTTGAACCAATTTCGATTTTAAATACAATTTTTGGAATTAGAAAATATATCCTTGTTGACCTTAAAGATTCATTATTTTCCCATTTTCAAATGCCAAAGTATGATATTTCGCAAACAGAGCAACATCCAATCTAAACAAGTCACTAATTACCCCTATTTGTAAAGGTTTTTAGACATGTCAATAATTATTTTCCAAGTGTAAGCCAGAGGAATCTGACGTCCCTTGAAAGACGATAAAAAGCTGGCAATCTGCGATTGATGAGCTTAATGATGTCTTCATCGGGGCGAGATCGGTTCCCATGGCATCTTGGAGGTCTGGGCTATTTTTACTCACCGTTGCAGGGCGGCTGGGAGCAGAGTGGTCGCAGTTGCTCGCAGTGTTTTCCGGCGCGATCTGGAGGACAGCGGCAGTAGTATCCTTCGGGCGTATTCAGGCAGTGGCCCTCAAGACAGGGCGATGGAGTGCAGTTCTCCTTGGAGTCCTCGCACAGAGAACCCGAATATCCCAACGGGCAGATGCAGTTGAACTTGCCCACCATGTCCACACACTCGCCTCCATTCCTGCAGGGTGATGTGGCACACTCGTCGATGTCCGTCTCGCAATCCCGACCCGTGTATCCCGCGGCACAGGCGCACCTGTAGTCGTTGACCAGGTCGATGCAGCTGGCCCCATTCCGGCACTGACCCACACAGTCGTCCAAATTCTCGGCACAAGTCACTCCGCCCCAGCCCTCCATGCAAATGCAGGCAAAGGAGCCCGGCTGGTTGCGGCATTCCCGGGCATTGAGGCAGGGTCCTGTGGCCAAGGAGGTGGACGCCACCGCACTGGTCAGGGCAGCTAGCAGGGCAGAGCTGCTCAGATTGCTGCCGATGATGGCACTGGCCGTGGTGGTCAGCAGTGCGTTGGCCGCAACTCCGGCGGAATGCGGTGCCTCACACTCATTCACGTCCACCTGGCAGACTTCACCTTGCCACTCCGGCGGACACTCGCAGCGAAAGCCGCCGATTAGATCGACGCAAGTGCCACCATGCTCGCAGGGACCCCCGGCGCACTCATCGATATCTGAAAAGGGAAGGGGAAATTCAAGCAGATTGTTTAAGTGCCATGCGAAGAAGAAGTGCAAACACTGAGGGAAAATTATCAAACTTAATAAAATTAAAACCTTAAACTTCAATAAAAATTATATACTATTAATCCAAACAGCTTATCAATTTACAATTGCTTGCCCCTTTTTTGTAATAAAAGAATTAATCAACATTTTGGTAAAAAAAAAGTATTTCTGTCATTTAAAACTTTGTTAGCATTTAAAAAATGTAATGGTTAATAGTTAAGCACTTTGCTAGCGTCCTTTTAATCAGAATTGATAAGTGAATTATTTATTAATTCTATTGTCCTGTTTAGAATTCTTAAATTATGTTTATTAAATACTTTTTTATATGTGTCTATCAAAAAAAGTATTAAATATTAATAGTAATTAATGAGAGTTTAAGGTACTTAAACTCTGGTTGATTTTTATACTTTTTTCACGAGCTTTAGAATCAATAAGTTGATTATTATTTAATGCTGACTTAAGAACATATTTTCTCCCCGTGAATGTGTTGATATTGCTGATGAGCTCTCGAGCAGCAGAAGCCTGAGCAGGTGGCTCTTAGCCCGAGCTCAAGTCGTTGAACTGACTTGCGAATTGGCATTGGTATGGGCAGCTTGAGCCTGCGTGCCTGGCTTATCGGTTGCCTGAAATCTTCAGGAGAAGACGCTTCCTGCTCCTTTCCCCTTATCCTCCTTACCAGCGAGCACGCAACTCATTTGTTTGTGTTAAGGAGGGACTGATAAGATGGGCACCCCAAAATAAAGTTCAGACCCTTGGCCATCCGCAAATAGGGTTCCCGATTAGCATCAGTTTAAGAAACTTTTAACTTAATTATGCATTTTTTATATATATTAAAATTTTCCCATGAAATAACAGTGAATAAGAAATAATGACTTCAATTTAAGAAATATTGATTAGCTCATAACAAATTGTTAAATATCTCTATATTTAATTGAAATTAGTCTTTAACAATTTCGAGTTTCAATAACATTACATTCAAACTCTTAAAGAGTCAATAAATAAAGTCGAGCTCATGTCGAACAATTGAAGGCCCTTAATTGGCAAAAAACTTTACGAACAGCACAAAATGCCAATACAAATGTAAATCCTTCAACGCCGACTCATTCGTTTTGGGAATGGCAACTCAATTAGCTTACGGCTTATTGCATTGGCCAGCAAATAGTTTCTGGTGAATGTGTCGGTCGTGCTCCAATTGGAATGCAAAACCGAAGCAAACCAAATTCGCCGGACCACCGTGGCAACAACAATCATAATAAAAGGCAAAGCCGGCAACAATAACAGCCTGTGCGTGCTACGTTTCATTTCATTTCATTTCGCTACAGTCAAATGCGTGTGTGCTCAATTGCATGATCGAGCGGCAACATCGCCGTACAACAGCAACACCATCGCCCAACAGCAACATCTACCGACCAGCAACTACCAACCGGCAACTTGGGCAACTGGCCAGGCCAAAACCTATGCTGAGTCGAGCTGTGGCTAATCGCGTGCTGTGGAATAAAATTAAATCAAAACTCACTTATTTCGCATGTCGGTCCCGTCCATCCGGCTGCACAGCCGCAAGTGAAGTTGGGGGTAAGTTGCTGCTGCAGCTGCAGGGATCCCATTCCCAGTCCCGATCCCGAGGAGCTGCTGCCGTTCTGCCCGTTCGACTGCCCCTCCAGGCTGCGCATTGAGTTGCGCCGGCTCAGCGGCCTGCCAATGGAGGAGCTCCTGCCTCGCATTCTGCGGTACACTGGCGATTGGGTTAGGTTCGTCGGCTGTAACGAAAACGTATTCCATAATTTATCAAAATTTACTTAACTTTAAATTGTAATGGAAAAATTGATGTATTTAGAAAATTCCTGTAAAGAATCATAGTTCACTTGTAAAAATGATTTGATATCTATTGGACATTAAAATAAGTCAGCAGATATCTTTATTAATAAAGACCCTTAATTTATTGTTTTAATGGCTTTCAAGTATTTCTAAAACAAAATCACATTTATTATTTTTTTGTTGGCATTTACCATTTTAAAGGTCAGGAAAATTTGCTTTTCTAGACGCTGGTATTTTGATTTTTATGTTACTGCAGACAATTTTTATTGAAGTGTATACCAAAGAACTAGATAGAACTAATGTCAGGTACTAAATAATCATTAATTTTTATATTACCCGCAAAATATAAGCGAAAAAAAGGCTATTTAAGTTCTTTAATTGGCACTAATTAAATAGATTTGTTTATTTAATTCTGTGTTAAGATAACTTGCTTTACTTTTTTTTAGTGCCGCGGAGATGAGTCCAAGATGGGGCAGCCCATCCAGAGCGTATTAAATTATTTTGTGGCAGTGCGAAAGAGTGCATAAATCGCGGACTTACCTGGAGCGTGCATGTGCCGCCGTTGCGGCAGGGTCTCGTGGCACATGGGTGCTCCACGATCTGGCATTGGTCGCCCGAGAGGCCTTCGGCGCATGTGCAGCGGTACTTGTCCGGAGCGGTGTTCTCACAGGTGCCGCCGTGCTTGCAGGGTTCATGGGTGCCGCAGGAATTTAGATCTGTGCAGGGCAGAGCGAAACTATGAGATATGTACCAGCCAGCGAGTGCATCGATATTATCGATGATACCCCCATTCCCATTTTGAATCCCATTTTGAATCCCATTTCCCCCTGTAATGGCCAGGTCACTTACCTTGGTCGCACAATATGCCACCCCAGTTGGTGTCGCAGACGCACTTCCAGGCGCTGCCGTTGCAGGAACCGTGCCTGCAACCTGGATACACCATGCACTCGTTGCACAACGGACCCCGCCAGCCAGGTCTGCATCTGTGAATTAAATCGGAGTGGTGATGAGTGTACGTTCATAAGTGCACTGCAAATTGGTAAATGGAGCATATAGGACCCTAGCCGAGGGGTTAGCTCAAAGTTGAAGGATTCTACAGCTTGGGAAAAGAGTTACGCCATGAAAAAGTGTAGCACTGATTACAAAATGGGGCATCGAAGACCTTGGCCGAAAGGTGATCTTCATTCGATGGGGTACGAAAGCGAGTATTATGATTTGCATCTTGGGAAAATGCAGTCGAAGGAAGATGAGTCAGTTTCATGGGAGTAATTTGATTACAAAATAAGGCGTAGAGTACCCTAGTCAAAAGGTGAGCTTACTGCAAGAACATATATAACAGCATCCAGATGTTATCTTCTGCCTGGGAAAACTTATACCTAGTAATCTTGAGACTACACGAACGGCAGCATAAATCACATCAGAAAATAAGGCTGATTGTGCACAGGCATTTAAAAATAGAAAAAAAGAAGATTTAGAAAAAAAATTCTAATGATAAATTGAGCAAACAAAACAGCATGAATAAGAAAATGCCACATAGGACGAAATTGTCAAAAAAAACTCTTTTTGAACCTTTCTTAGTTGAATGATGTCAATGTATGAAATTTCCTAAATATTTATGCATTTTTCAAGCTTGGAAATCTAAGAGAACAACAAAGGTTATCTTCATCTTGGCAAAACATTCCCCTATTATTCATCCGGCGATTTCGGCTCTGGTGTTTCCTTACATTTCAATTTGGCCTGGGAACGCATTTGACTGTGGCCAACCACCGAATTGGGTCACTCTGAACTTTGGCCTTGATGCATCAAATGCTAAAGTGGCAGTGCAGCCAGTCGGCCACTTCTGCAATTGCCGTTCCTGCTCCAGCTTGGGGCACAAACTGCGATTTTATCGCCGCAACACGCCAAAGTGCAGCGGGATCAAAGTTAGCCAGCCGGGGCATCGAGTATCGAGTTATCGCCCGGCGAGGTGCTAACTCTACAAGCTCCGGGCATCACGTCATGCCCGGCGATAGTCGACATCGCCGTTCGATGTCGGTTATTTATGATTTCATTAAAACGGCAGCCTGTTGTTATCGGGCTGCGAATCAGCGGCTCTGGCTCTGGCTCTTCTGGCCCGGCCAGCAAATCGCAAATGGGCCAGCAACGTGCAAACAGCAAAAGTAATTTTTCTTCTGGCTTATAATTGTTGCGGCGGAGCGGAAATCTGCTGACTTTTGATGTTTTCTAGGCCACACTAATTATTGCTATTTAGAATCAGGACAAGAGGAGTTGGACGGGATGGACTGGAGAATACGATGCCTGACGGAGCATCATGATGCAGTCGAGAAATGCAATCATGGCCGCCGGCTCACGTATTCTGTGTTACGCTCGAACATTAACAACGGCAACAACAACTGTTGCCGCTGCAACTGCAACAACTATTGCGGCTGCTGCTGCTGCAAATGCAACAGGAACAACCGAAGCACAAACGTTTTTTCGTGCTGCGGTCTTGGGACGTGGAAGTACACAGCAAGAAATAATACATTTAAATTGTGTTTATATAATTTTGAAGTATAATCAAATTATAGGCAATATATTTGTAGTACTCAAAAACACAATCAGCAAAACACAATATTATGAAATAATTTAATAGTTTCATAACAAAAAACGTAATATAAATGTAAATTTGTGTTTGTTAACCGTCATATTTTGAATTCCTTTAAAAAAGCTTTGAAAAGAATCTAAAGTTTTTTTTGCTCAGATAAAAGGTATGAAAATATGTGTAAATATGTATCATAAATGGTTTTATTTTTTTCCTGTGTACTTAAGGCTGAAGCTCTTGCTGTGCCAGTCGCCCCATGTTGCCATCGTCTGTGCATGACCGCTCCAAAGGGGCGGACTGAAAATACTACCCAAGAAAGCAGAGCAGAAGGAGGAAAAAAGGGGGAAAGGAGGAGCTCCTGGCCCGATCAGCATTTGGCCATCGTGCGGGCGTTTGATTAGCCTGCTCTCTGGCCGGGAATCGCATTGGCACTGGCACTTGATTGCAGATTATATGGCTGGTTACAACTTTATAGCACTCGGGTTATCTCCCAAATGGGCAGTTACCGAGTGCGAACAATTTAATAAGGAATGCGGATTGATTGGGAAGTATAGCGATTCGATCAGTGCAATGAAAGTCGCAGCTCTTTCACATTCGATTTGACTAGCAGTGATGGGAAAATTTAAGTTTTGTTTACACTAGAGGGAATAAAATGTATATTTTTATAGGAAATTGTTTATTTGTTACTCGATTTTATTATTAATCAATCGCGCTTTCTGCTCCATCCTTATTACAACTTTGACCATTTTATTTTTATGAATCTTCTTTTTTCTTGATCTGACATGATATAATATTTGTAACTAAGCTGAATTTATAAAAACGTAAACCATTTTGATCTAATATGGGTTTTGTGAACTGAAAGGGGAAAATAGGGACTTTTCATGCAAATTAAAATTGCTTTTACCTACTAATATTGTAAAATGTGTTTCTCCATAAAGCTATAAGTAACCATAATTAAACCCCCAGATATATCCCTATTACTGCATTCACCATCGACTGATTGGCATTTTCCTGGGAGAAACGCTGCCAACTACTTCACACATTTAGCCTCTAAAAAAATGGGGATGGGTAAAAAAGCCGACTGCCGGTAAAAAGCGCCCCATGTGAGCTATAGAACCCATTTCTCTGCCACCGATCTCGCGCAAAAAGAAAACCACTCTCGGCCATTATAACTGTGCGAGTGGAGTGTGAGCCTGCCTGTCAATCTGGCGAACCGGCGACTTCGAGACCAGGGCCATTAAGCCGGCCCCAAAGTTTACGGGCCACATGCAAAAAGTGTCATAATCACATCGTTAAATGGGGTGGCAGGGGGTCGTAATTACAGAGGTGGATAAAATAAAGTAAAATAAAATAAAATAAAACAGAATAAAGATAGAGGTAGCAGGTAAGAGGTAAACTACTTACTCGCATTCCCCCGGACGATCGCACTTGCCGTGGCCGGGGTCGCAGCCGGTCTTGCAGATGGCCTCCTCGCAGTTGACGCCCTGCCAGCCATTGAGGCAGAGCTTCTGACCCTCGGAGCCGCAGGCGTAGTGGCCGAACTGATCGTCGCGCGGACGGCAGAAGGTCGTGCAGGTCGTGTTGTAGTAGGTAACGGCGCATTGCACCCGGACACGGTAGGTGATCCGCGCGTTGCGCCCGATGTGGTCCAGCGTCTTCCACTCCGGCGACGGCAGTATCACGCCCGAGTATGATGTTTCCTCAATTAACCTCTCCGCATCTGCATTTCATTCGGGTGGAGTTGGGTTTTGAGTTTGTGGGTTGTAGGTTCGGGATTTGGGATTTGGAGGCGAGCGTGGAATGACAATTGTTGTGGTTGTCGTCGGATTCGTCGTTGTTGGTGGCATCAACGTTGGCGTTCCAATGGAGCAGGGGCAATCGAGAAGTGGAAAGTGGGCAGGCGAATTTAGTCAGTTGTTGGCACCATTTCAAGCGGTTAAGGGTACACTCAGAGAAAATAAAGGGCTTGGTTATTTCGTAGGTTAAAAAGTTAGTAAAGTTATTTCTTCACATTTTTCAAAAGCCTTTGCAATCTTACGAAACTGCATCAATAGAAATTAATCTTTATAGATTATAAAATAATACGTTTTATACAAGTTTTTTCTATAAAGCAATACAAATTGTTTTTAGCTATTTAGTTAAGTATCCTTACTTAACGAAAGTGGTTGTTTGACATTAAATAAGCAATACTTTCGATTTTCTCTGAGTGTATCCTTCTGCGTCTCCGTTTGCTAATTAAGCCAAATGCCTAGCTGGCAAACAATAACGAGCAGCGTGCAACAAGCAGCATGCAACTAGCAACCAGCAACTTGCAACAAGGGGCTGTGGTTAACGAGCACAAGTCTGCAATTGCCACCGCACTTACCTGGATAGGATGTGTTGTACATATCCAACGCCTGCAGTATCAGCGTAAACGACTTCTGTAATTGAACGTGGAGAGAGGAGGAAAAGGTGGCATTTAGTTTGCAGTTTTCAAGTTTGACTCTGCGCTGACGCTAATGGACAGTTTAATCTCCGCCATGTAAATGAAGACAACGCAACGGCCGACAAACAAACAAACAAATAAACAAAAACAAAAACCAACTGACGAACAAAGCGATCAGACAACAAACAAAGCGAGGCAAAGCAAAGCTAAACACTTTAATTTCACGCAGGAGAAGCGGACTTTCTAAACAGACTTTGGCCATGTCCATGTCGCTGTCCATGGCATTGCAATTGGCCAAAACAAAATGCGAAAAAGAAACACAGACACAACTCTCATTGATTTTTAGATTTGTTTTGTTTCAATGCCTTGCCGAAAAGTATTCTTACTTTAGGGAGGACTTTGTCAAGTCAAGATTTATTTATATTATTTTTTATGAAGTAAATGTAAAAGAAATCTACGACCATACAACTGTATACTAACGAAAACTTAAGCAACCTACAAATTAAGAAATAAAATCCTAATTTTAAAAATTTAGAAAATGTATTGTCCTGAATGCTTTTTAGGTTGTCATAGTTGTTATGAAAATAACAAATACCTCACTAAAGTGCACGTTTAAAAATACAGGAATGGTTTTGCAAAGCGCTTTAATAAATTAAATAGTAGTTTCATATGAAAAATTTGGAAGATAAGATGTCAAGATGTTATACAATTTTATCGCATTAACAAATTTCCTAGAGCATTTACAATCTCGGCATCAAAAGCTGCAATTTCTTTTGATTTTTCCAACTCCTTCTTTGCATGGTCCTAAAAAAAATATAAATGAAGATTCGCTGTTTTTTTCTGTTTTTGTAATTTCCGAGCTGAGCGGCCGTAGAAGATTTCTTGTTGGGCAGAAAGCAATTAAACGTCGACGATGTCTGGATGCCGCCGCTGGATGCCAGGAAATGCTCATTTAGCAGTGGGAGGCAGTCGCCAAGTCGAGGGCCGATGAGCGGGGCAGAGGAGGGGGATTCCCATGTAATTGCCCTGGCGACGCGACACTAAATCAGTCCAAAGCAGACATTGGCTAATTGCAGCCGGATCATCAACATCAGTGACAACAACTTGACACAGTTTGCAAATCCATCCGTCTATAAATTGACCAGACCCAGCTCAAGTTTCCATCTCCATTCAATTTCCACGCATTGATATATCGCTGTCCTATGGCTTCCATTTAAGTTCTGTTCCGGGCTCGAGCTAAAATCATGATCCGTCTGACTATACGGATATATATGGCGCATGGCAATGCCAGCGGAAGTATATCAATTAAAAATGGCGTTGCATTTGGTTTTCGATTTCAAAAAACACGAAATGCCAGACAGACACGAGCCAATGGGAGGGAGGTCTGAACTATATTAATAAAGATGGAGAAACATCTGACTATAAAACGCTGCGAAAACCAGAATGATGGGAATAAACCAGAGCCATTTGAACCTTATTAAACTTATTAATTGGAAATTGTTTTCTCCTTTTGAATTATCAATCGAATCAAGTAGCATTTAGCAAGACAATTCTCAGTCAGTGAATTGGCCACCGAAATGTTTACACAAAGTGAAGAACCCTGTCTCCGGTCGAAGCGCTTTCATTAATGGAAGCCATCGGCGCACTGGTTTCCAAAAGTGTTTCTTCTCGAACAAATAACTTTTGTGGGGGTAGCAAAATGGATCAAAAGCCCACGGAGCAAAACACAAATTGTATTATATTTGGGCAGTCATTCATAGATCTTGAGCGAAAAGTGGAACAGGCACCACAAATACCACTCGAGATCGCTCAATGGCTGCGCACGCGCACTCCAGATCGTCAGGTCTTTTGGAACTTGGAAAATATTGTCAAGTGAAATTCGTTTGGGGCTGCCAGCTCGAATGTTTCAGGTGGATGTGGATGAGAGTGGGGCCCTAGGTGAAGTCGGTGTTTGACAGTTACATCGAAGGCCCGCCGATGTTATGATGTGTGCTCTTGAGGCTGCGCTCAAGTATTTCCTAAGTCATGTTTATGAGTCTTAACATGCCATTCACTCAATCAGCAGCAGCGCAGAAGAAGTCATTCAATAAAAAGTGGGACAATTGCGACCATATCGGCAGCTCTTTTTTCTTGATTTCTGTCTTTCGGTTTTTGAAGATTTTCATGAGTTTGTGAAAGGCTTCTTGAGGGTGCCTCACAGACTAACTGACTGACTGACTGTCTGCAGGCGAATATTACGCTGCCAGTATGCAGAATATACCGGGTTTCTTTCGCTTTCGGGCGCCCAGTCACAGTTTCGACTCAGTCACATGTGAGTTGAGAGTTGAGAGCTGGGGAGCTGAAGAAAAAAGGCACTGGCAAAGGCACAAGATTAAAGCGAAACCAAAGCGAAGCGTAACGTATCGCCATCGCCATCGGCCGAGCGACAAGCGCGACAAGGTAATGTTCCCACGAAACAGGTTGTCCGCACTTCAGGCCACGACTTGGCTTTCGGGGGGCAATGGGGAAAGGTGGAGGCACAGAACAGGCAACCAGACCCAAGCCCAAACCCAAGCCCAAACTCAAGACCCAGACCAAGACCAAGACGAAGACCCGGCTCTGACGCATGCCTCCTCCCCCGCCACCACCCCTTCGTCAGTTGCCCCTGCCTAATGTAAACGACGGCGCATGCGCATGCCGACGTCGACGTCTGCGTCAACGGAGACAGCGACTGCGACTGCGGCTGTGACTGCCAATTCCATTGCACTCGAAAAATAATTAAATCAATTTGCCGATCAATTACAAAAATTCTTCTCAGGTTAGCCCATAATAATGTATTTAAGTTTATATTTAGTGTACAAGACTGTTATTATAAATAAGATAATTGATTGTTTAGCACTACCCATTTGGTTTTTATATATGTAGTCAATTATACAATGTAAAACAAATTTAAATACATTTATTTTATTTTAAATAAACATTTAAAAAGTTAAAAAAAAATTATTATGTGACACTGTTAAAAAAAGAGTATTAAACCTTTAACCATTGAAATTATATTTATTTTAACATTGATAGTATTTCAGACTTAAAAACAATTGATATTTACTGCAACGCAAATATTTACTACAAAAAATAAACACAAAGCAAGTGGTTTACCTTTAAAAAGGAAATTATTCTTTAGTTAAAAAAATGTTCCGGATTGTAAACTAGCTAAAAAGTTTTAATAAAAAACACTTTTGTCCAAGTGCCCAACCAAACAGATCGCAGTCGCATTAGTTTCGACGCCGACCTGGCCAAGGCGTGTAATTGTTAACCAAGTTAGCTTTGAACACCGCCAAAACAGCAGCAAACAACGTCCAGAACAACACCCGTACATAACAACGAAATAAAAAAGAGCAAAAGCAAAAGTTTAATTCAATTCTGCGACTACACCCAGCCGGGTTACATTTTTACCTTAACCGAGTTAGGAGCGGACCAGGCCACGTTTTATTTTATGTTTTATTTTTTCGGACCGTGTGTTCAGTATGCTTTTTTTATTTCTTCCCAGTTTGGCAGTCATAAGCCCGCATTATGCTCACTTAATTAACCGAAAGCCGCTTAGGAGGTGCCCGGTAAAGAAGTATAAAACATGAAGACCAATTTTTAATTGCTTTTTTCGGCTACTGCCGGGCGAATCTGCGCAGAGGAACGATGATGGGCTGACTGGCCAAGGGTTTAAATGAGTTGGTCGAAATTATTGAAGTCGCGTTTGGTGCTGGTTTCTCGCCTTGGAATTTTCACGCCCCATGATTTCGGGGAACCTTGAATCAGCCCACATTGGAATTTTGGCCACAGGAAGTGAAGAGAATCTCTTCATAGACTATGCCCCTCTGGTTTATTCTTATCAATTCGGCACGAGCTCGGCTCATTCACATTTCTGTTGCCGGCTCGACGACCTTATCGCGTTCGGTTTAGCTTGGCTGCCCCACAGGCGGAACCGAGCTGCCTCTATCTAAAGTCGAAAAACAATAATGAAAACCACATACAACGAAAATGAGAGCTCGTGCCAAAAGCGTGCGTCTTACTTGGAGAAGGGAAAATGGGTTATGGTTATGCTGGGAACTGCACTTACCGTCCATCGAAACGTAAAGGGCAACACAATGGCTCCCACACCCGGATCGCTGAGCACAAAGCTGGATCCACCCAGTATCTTGGTGGTGGCGTTGCCAAACGAACAGCCCGTGGATATGCTGGCACCCTGCTCCGTGGTCTGGTACTCCTTCAAACACAGACGGAATGCCGTCGTGCATGGCGAGCAGCCTGAAATTAGAATTCCAGCACGGGTTATCAATGTTTTATACACTGGGATATACTATAGAAATGCCGAGTTCTCTGCCAGAGATTGCATAATTTCCGGGCATCGTTAAAAATAAAAGAGAATATGGGAGTACGTGCCAAAATATGCAGAGTGCAAGTTCTGCTGATAGGCAAAGAGGCTTGACCGCTTATTTTGGTGACGCAAGATAAGAAATTTGGGAGAACATATGAAAATCTCTGGTGGCCTATAAATTAAGATAAAATAATAATAATGTTTTTTGAATACTTTTATAAATATATTTTTAATAAAATAAGTTATCTTTTTTATAAAGAAATAGTTATTTGTTAATAAATATTTTCAAGCACTGAAAGACTGTTTTGAAATGTTGTTAAATATAAGACTTATACATGTAAATAAGCTTTAAAGAAATTCACAAAGCTTCGTTTAAGAAAAATGTTGTGAAATGTGTAAAGCCCTTGTATTCAATATTTTATTACAAGGCGATTTTTAATTTTAAAAAAGATTAAAATATATTTACGAACATTATTTATTATCTGATTAACAACTATTTTGATTTCAACTCAAGACATCATTTTTTAAGTCTTAACTTTCTTTGACAAGGCAAATCCCATAAAAATGTGGCATCGCACAGTTGGTGTTTTAATAGACTTACCTATCGTCTTGGTGGCCCTTAGTTCCGCTGGCATGCCGCAGCAATAGCCGTTGAGTAGATGGCTGTTGGTATTTGAGATTTCTAATATTTCCAGCTCGAAGTTACCAGCTGCGGATATCTGTAGTGGAAAAAACATAAACAAAATTATCGAAGTTGCCAGTACATTGGCATCGAATCGCATTGAAAACAAGCGTCCAGATCTCAAATCGTTCAAATCAATCATGACCCATAACGAAGCCCCGAAATGGGTGAATCCCAATGGCTGTAACCCCCTCCTCCTCCAACTTGCCCCTCGGCTTACATTCCAAATCGAATAATATGCTCAACACTTTATGGATCTGATCGGCTGTGATCCCAGCTCGTTCGCTGGTTGTAAAAGCTAATAAGCCACCTAGGGCGCTCTGATTGGGCTGCGGTAGAGGTTTTAATTAAAAACAAAAATAGATAGATCGATACAAGAGAGGAAAATCAGAAGACCGAAGTGAACACCGTAAAAGTGGTAGGCAAATGAAAGGAGCTTGATAAATCTGGCAGCAAATGAAACACGAAAATAATGAGAAATATTTTCCCCACAAAGCGGCTTAACTGTTCGGTTCGGCTCACTTAATCAAACGAGATATCCAGCAGTTTGTATAATTTAGAATGCCTTTGTGTGCCAGCTGGAATCCGTGGCAGAATTCGTAGTCGCAGCCCCAAGTGGCCACAAATCACGGGCCCATCGATAGGAGCATTCGCCATAAAATTAATAACACATTAGATCGCCGCTCTCTCACTCGACCGAACGCTTCTGACAAATGGCACATAAAGTTTAACTATTCTCCGCCAAATCGCTTATCATAATTTAGCCAAGGAGCTGTTGCATCTGGAAGCTGCATCTTGGCCATCAACTTTGTATTTTAGGGTTCATTACCAGGCTGCGGATGGGTTCTGCTTCGCGGAAAATATGCTAATGAAAACTCTTAGCCCGTTGGCGACTCCTGCTTTTATGGTTTCATATTTCAGTGAATTTATTGTCATGGGTCTTGGTAGCTGGCAGTGTTGATAAGTTTATTAGAAATAAATTGCAATTTAGCCGGGCCTCTTGGCTAACGGCATCGGCCAGTTTGCGAGTCACCTGCAGCTGCGGTTAGAGCATCGAAAAAAAAGATAAAGGCCGACAAAAACCAAACTTCAGCTCGAAGCCACATGCATTGTTGATCATGCCATAGATCAATCAAATGCAAGTCCCCCACGAACCCCTCGTCATTCTCGGCCAGTTTCTGTTCGGTTTCTCTTGGCGTTTTCTCGTGATTTCCTTTTGTTTGGGTCTCTGAGACTTCCACTTTAACTGCAGCTTCGACTGGGACCTCAAACTGATTGGATTCTTGGTCTTCGATCGAGAGATTTTTACCAGCAACCGGTTCGGCCTGCTTACTATTTATTTATCACATTTCTTCGGGCAGTGCTCCTCATTCATGGGGCAGGTGCATCCGCTAATATTCTGGACAAACTCTGACGTAATCAATTCGATTAGATAAACCACCAGAAATGCTTAAGGAATTAGTGCTGCGGCGCCACATGTAAACGGGGACGTTTTAACGAAGCCGACACACGAAGTTAATGTGAAGTTAAATTTTAATTAAGCCTGCAGTTGGCAGGGAAACAAAACGAAACTTGGCCATTAAGGCTGGCGATCAACGTGGGAGCTCGTTTTGCCAACTCATTTCTGATTTTGGGCTTTTTATGCATATTTCGCAGTCCGTTTAATACGCAGCTTATGATCAATAAATGTCAGCTCAAATGAGAGAGATCTTCCCCGGACTTTTGGCATCCCGACTTGGCCGAGTAACTGGGTTAATTTCAACTGACATGGGCCCATGTGAACCGAGGCGATATGATCGCAGTTTCGGTGGTATGGTTGTTTGGTTGCCTGGTTTTCCCTGGAAGTCGGCCATAAATCGCCGCTACAAAATATTTAACTTTTATTTACTTCATTAACAACTAAATAGTTGCAGTGGGATCGCTGGACCACTGCTGCCGGCGACTTTTATCGCCTCGCTTACCCTAAATCAATGCAATCCCCTCTTCCAAGTAGATAAATGTGTGTAATCAATTTGATTGCCCCACGGTCGGGAACTTGGGATAGTCTTCTGGGACTCGCATGCTCCTCGGATTCTAATGTCTGGCTCTCGAGATCGCGCTGGCGTATTAATCAAATTGTTGTTAAGGCCCCTCGCAACCCCCTCCCAAAAAACTCCCTACACTCTTCCCGGGCAACGATTAATTTTTATGTATTTCTGAACCGTTGGCTGCCGTTGGTTCTCCAACTCTGCCTCTTTGCCTGTTTAATTGCCGCTCGGGGCATCTCCGCTGGCATCTCAATACATGTTTAGGCACTTTGTGTAACACTTTATGACGGCTACACCCCGAAAACTCCGCCGACTCTCGACTACCGTTGCCATGTGGGAACCATTTCGGGGAGATGGTTTTCGGAGATAGGACGGCCCACTAATCTGGCGGATCACCTTCGAGGGGTCCTCGATCCGATCCTATTAAACCTTTGCCGGGAATTCTTAGTCAGAGGCTTTTTATAGAAATCGAAGAACGACTTTATTTAAATACCAGTTTAATGATTTAAGCTTGGGAAATATTTTGACTAAGTGTAGGTATCCAATTGCTAGAGAATTGATGGCTTTTGTGCATGGCAATGAAATATATAGCCAACATCTAGTTACCCCAACTTCATGTTAACAACTTCATTTTACAAGGGAAGAGAGCTTCAAAAATCATTTAAACAGTTGTTTACAAAATCGTATAGTCAACTAATCAATAAACTAATTTATATTGACTAAAAACTTAATCATTGTAATCCACTGTAAAATTGAATTTACTATTATTATTTTGTGAAATGAAGTTATTAAAATTTGAGCCACTCAATCCAAAGTTACTTTCAGTTCAGAAATCTGAAAATCAAAAGATTTGTTTTACCATTTTTAATCAATTTCAAGGTTGTCTACATTTTTTTAAGAAAGTATTTAAGTATTGTTTATTTGTAGATTCTAAGAATCTTCTTTACTTTGACTTATTTTTGATTTACTGCTTTTCCAAAAATTCCCGTGTAAAAGCTCTCATTAAACACAGCTCTTTTGGTTACGGAGTTGATAAATCACTCAAAAATAAACCGAAATCATCATTATTTACGTCCCCCATCAAAACTTTGCCCTTAGCCATTGCCAATTCACATGGGTTGAATCAACTTTGGTTTTTCTTTTTGGTTTTGTTCGAGACACTACACCCGCATATATTTGGATCTGGGGCTTTTTTCGATTATTGCTTTGGGGTTCGATCGCTTTTGCATGTTGGTTTGCTTACCTTATGGACTAACAGTATTAAAATTAAAGCAATTAAGTTGCAGGCAGACTTTAATGATCGACAATCGCGGATCGGCGATGGCAGGGCCGCGATTTTGAGTTCCCGGTGCCTCGGACGCTGCCTTTTTGTCGCCGTCGTTTTGGACATTCTCAGGCTGTCTGCTGTGTTTGTTGCTTCTATTGTTGATTCCGCCGAAAATGATGTTGGTTTTCGCCGAAAATGTTTCCTAAACATTTTGTACATTCTGGGGGCGTTTGAGAGCGTGATGCTGGTCGGGATCTAGATGGAGTTTGTTTTGGATTCACTTTGGATTGGCACCACAAATGTAAATTAGCTTTGGCAGCCTTAATTAGCCCATGTATGCAGATTTTTGTGCCTTTGTCTAAGCTTTCACTACACTTGTTCTGGTCGGCACTGGTCGTATTCTGGACGCTGAATCATTTTCTCTACTCTGCCTTCGTCTTATTTTTGTTTTGTCAATGTTGTTATCACACAATTATTTATTATTTATATGGGCTTCAGCATGTACTTCTCGTTTGTTTTGTTCACACTTAACACTTCCACTTGATAGGCGATGTTTTGTTGCTGTTGCTGAAACAATTGTCGAACGAAATGGAATTGAAACGGGCTGCGGAAAATCTATTTCACTGTGCATCATCAACGCTAATTGACACGCAGTTGCTGCTGCTGCAGCAGCAACATCGCCAGTAGCAGGAGCAACCGCAACCGCAGCAACAAGTGCCACCAGAGACCGCAGCAACATTTACTTTTGCAAAGACCGCAAAAGCGGCAACGTGCAGCAAATGCAAATGCAATTCAATTTATGTTAATTTAACGCTGTTGCTGGTAGCTGTTGCTGCTGCAATTGGCGCTGCTACTGCTGCTGCTGCTGCTGCCATGGAGCCGTGTCTTTGGCCACAAACAATTTGCATCTTGTGCGCATATTAATTTACAGATATTTTCACTCTTGTCCACATTACTCATTCTTCCCTCCCCATCCCGTGGCCTTTTGGCCCCCTTCCGCCCTGTTTGCTCCTGCTCGGGTGTTAATTGTCCATTTAATTAAGTAATTTGCTTGGGGCCTCCTCCCAGCTTTGGCACGAAACGGAAGTCGTTGACTTTGAATCGAAACCCAGATGCTGCCGCTTATGTTGCTGTTGCTGCTGCTGTTGCTGCTGCTGATGTTGCTGCTGCTGGGCATGACCGGAAGTGGCTTTTGCAAGTGGAGGATGCAGCTCAACCTCCCCCTTACTCCCCTTACTTTCACTGTTTACGCTCTGCAATTTGCAAAATGCAGAATGAATTGCTGGAAGCCCTAAAACTATGGCATACTCTATCTCTATTATTGCTACACTTAAAGCTCAGTCATTGTTTTATAATTTCCTTCGTGATATACTCTGATTTATCAAATAATTGTATAAGCGGTAGTCTTGAATTCAACGATCTGAATAAGCTGTGGACCATGATAGGCCCATAAAACTAAGCATATGGTAAATGATTGAATGTGAGGCAGTGCATGAGCGTTTTCCTCGCTCTTTTGATCAGGGGCTTTCCCCAAGCTCGTACCACCCATTCAGAACCTGACCGATTTCACTGCACTATCTCTCATTTCTCCCTATGCACAGATCAAAAAATACTGTTCTTAACTTTGATTAAGAATTTCATGAATTTGCATCACTTTTAATTATTCACCTAACTTCTTTTATAAGCTAAATTCCTTTTAAAAGCTTTATATATTTTAAACATAAGTCCGTTTTATCAATACTTTTTAAATTCCTATAGATTTCTCTCCGTGTGCCCATTATTATTAATCGTATTATCGTCGTGCATTATAAACTAGTTGGCTGTTTTCATTCTTTGTCTCTTTCACTTGGCATGTTTCAATTCCACATCGTAGCCTGTGCTTGTGTCCCTGTGTTTTGGCTGTGTGCGTTATCAATGGAGCACACTGTGACCGCTGATTCCCCGGAATGGGGCACTCGTTTTCGCATATTTATATTGTTTGCACTTTTACTTTTCGCCTTTGATTAAACACAATTTTAACGGCATTGTGTTTTGATATATTAGTGTATTGTATTTAATTGAAAGGTATCTATTTCCGTTTTCTTTGCTCACACGATCTGGTCTCAGGAATTAATCACACACAAAAACACACACAGCAAATGTCGGCTGATTGTCGATCTTTCGATTTGCTTTTCTTCCACCGAGCATTTCAGTTGATTGCTCTTCATCATTTGTTGTAATCAGCAAGCAATTTAATTCGATTGCGGCACATTTAACACTTTCACAATTGTTGTAATGGGGTTTGGGTTCGGGTTCGGGTTCGGATTCGGGTTCGGGTACACAATAATCCAATTCGAGGAGGGGTTTACCGTTGGCAGAAAAGAAGCTCATCACCGCTCGAAGCACGTCGATCGACTAAACGCGTTAACCGAATCCTGCGGCATTTCCAGCCCTCGAGCAGCATCCACGGGGCGGAGCAAGTCACGCGAGAGTACGAGTGCTGTGGCTTTGGTGGTGGTGGCGGTGGTGGTCTTAAAGACTTAAGAGAGCTTGGCCTGGCTTGATCTGAACCACCGAAACCGCTTTAATGTGGTGGCGACGACGACTTCCGCTGAGTGCTGCGTGCGCTTCAGGGTTCGACTGGCGACTAAATGCCGCTGGGCACAAGTTGCCGCCGATCCGAGAGCTTAGCCCGGACCGCTTCTCTCTGCAATTCTCTTTGGAGTAAACCAGTTTGCTCTTCGAGCGGTGCTCTTTAGCCAGCCGCTGATTGGTCGTATGCCAAGCATATAGCCTACGGGCCCGGAATCTGAATCGGAATCGGCCGTTAATGGAGTTGCTGCCGCTTCGGCTGTTGCACGCATGCGCACCCGAGGCATAGTTGCTGCTGTATTTTACGATACCAACTTAATTATGCTTATAAGTGCATTCTGAGTGTGTGTGCTCCAGATCTAGAGTAGCTCCGAGGGACTGGCAATTAACACCTAATCTTCAGGAACTCTCCCACAACGCTTTTTCGGCTGGGAACCAGGTCCCAAAAAGCTAGCCAATTATTAACCCCCCAGACAGAGCGGCGGCGGCGACTTCCATCCAATTATCTGCTGGCCGAAAGTGTATAAATCAAATTTAAATGCAACTTGGCCTATCAGCGCAGCCAAAACAAAAGACTTAAGCAACAAACTTGGCAATTACATGCGGCCAACAAGACAAGCGGCAGCATCTTTGTTGTTGTTGCCCCTTCTGTTGCTGTGCTGTTGTTGTTAGCGGCTCATATTTCTTGAGGCGCATATCTAAATATCGAATCATGTTGCTGATTTTCCATTGTCTGCCCACCACAGCAACAGCAATAGCAACAACAACAACAAGAACAACTACCTCTGCTGCTGCCTCAACAACTGCAACAACACATAGTAAATCTCATTGTGCCGTTGTGACATGACTCTTGTTCGACAATAGATAAAACAAATTGACTTGGTGTGTGCCCAAAATGTCTTCTCTAGTCTCCCTGGCCATTTGGGTCTCCATCCTCCATTTGGTGGGCGTACTGGGCAGCGGTCTTCCAGCTCCTTTGTCATCTTTTCTGGCTTGGTAAAGTAAAGTTAAGAAAAAAAAACTGCACTACAATGCCCATTATCAGCTTACATATCTGCGACAAGAGACCCCAGAGCGGCAATTGTACGGGCCACCGAGACGGCAACGGCAACGGCAACGGCAACGTTGTCCAAATATGTTGCAAGTTGGTGTTATTCTTCACACGGCATCATAAATTTCACGTATAATTGACGCTTTCAGTTATATCAAAATTGGCTAAAAGGGGACGACCGGGTTTGCGTTGGTGGCCAGCTAACTCCACACTCCAGTCTTCAGCAGCCTCCAGAGACCCCGAGACTTGGGTCCCCAGAGATATTATTTTGCTCACTGTGGCTTACATTGTTTTCGTTTTGATTTCAGCTAATAGCCGACAACATCTTACAGGTGTCTTTGTGCGCGTCTCTCATAATTTTTTGGAGACTGTGTGTTGGCGGCTCGTTGGACACTTGTCCAGGTTTAATGACATTTCTTCGTTGGGATTAGCTTTCGCTTTTGCTGCCACATGGAACAGCTGCAGAAGTAGATCAGAGCAGTGGCATAAACCCATAAAATCAAACATATTGAGTAATCAAAATGTTGAACCCACCCTCTCTGCGAAGGGTCACCCCCTCGAACCCGCGTTGTCGACCCGTTGGGCGAGTTCATTAAACAAACAGGCAAATATGTTGGCAATTTCAACCAGTTGGTTTTACACCACTCAACATTTTATGACAGATTTTTCAAGTGTTTTTTCCGCCTCCTCGTTTTTCTTTTTTATTTTTTACTCCCCCTGCTGCTGTGGTGCAGCGGTGGCTGTTTGCGGTTAGTGGTTTTTGGTTAGTGGTTAGTAGTTACTGCATAGTGGCTGGAGAGTCATTGCCTTAGGTTAGTTGTTTATGAACGCTTTTATTGGCACTGTGCTGCGTCAGAAGATTTATGGGACATATTTTTAGCGAGAAGTTACGGATACTTGAGAGAACACTTGAGCCAAAAGACTGTGTTTGGCGGGGGCACCAATTTCCAAGAAAACGATTGCAATATTTGCTTTAAGGATCTGTAAGTGTTTTTTTAAGAAGCACTTCGCCCTAATAAGCCCAGTACCTAACGTACTTCCATTTATATACAAAATAAGGGTTGTTGATCAGAATGAAAATAATCTAAACTTATCTAATAAAACGCTGATGGTGGGGGAAAGTTTAATGGGGTTCCTGACACTTTTTAAAATTAAAATTAAATTAACTTATTAATAATTATACAAATATATATACAAGGGACTGTACAGAACCGTCAGACTTTTAGCTGAGGGTCTTATTTAAGAACAGTTACAACCAAAACAAACCACACAAAAAATTAAAATATTTACAAACAGTTTTTCAATACCATTTTGATTAATAATATATTACAATAGTTGACTTCTAATAAAATTCCTAACCGATTGGCATTCAAACCTAAATAATTTTATTGGTTCCCCATTTTTTTAATCCTAGGTTAACAGCTAACAAACAGCCCTTTTATATAATTACGAGGGGAAAAAAAACATGAAATATGTGTATTTCAGACAATTATCTTATGGTTTAAATCTTACCTTTACTTCAAATATTTAAAGTAATATCTATGTTAAATGATCGATAGGTGCTGAGAACACCGCCTTATGTCATCCCTGGGCTTTAAACTCAAAAACTTACCACGTTTACATGTGTAATGAACAGAATATTCATTGCGCACCATCCATCAATGTGACCACCTGACCAGACCCTGCAATTTGTACCACCTTACCCGAAAAAATCAAGGCACTTGTGAACCTCACACATGTTCACCCGGAGAGGGGGAAAATGATAGAGGTACGCCTCATTTAACCCAAATTCCACCCCTAGGCGCTTTCAAAATAAAATCCAATTGCAAAATCAGTAAGGCAAACATGTTTCGAACGCATCGCATTATGACACGAACAAAGGCGATTAATTAGCGGCGATGGGAGGGGGATGAAAAGATATATACAAAAAGATATAGAGATCGGGGAGGGTTGGTTTCGATTGCGCCGACGCGAGCGAGTAATCGAGATGGCTGCGCGTGCTCATGTCTTTTGCCAACATGTGCAACTGTTACCCACCGATTGCGATTGCTTGCGATGACAGGGAAGGGGTTAAGGCGAGGCGAGGAGTGGGTTAAGGTAAGGAGTCCTCATATCGAGCCCATACTTTAACCCATACACGTGCATATGTCATTTTTATAGCGCTATACGTGTTTGCCATAAATCCATAACAATATGACAAGTACAAGTACTTTAGCGGCAGCCTCTCTCATGTGCAACATGTTTGCACGTTCACGCCACCGCCAGTAGACAGTAGACCAAGTACCAGGTACCCACTGCCGTGGAGTGCCGTGGAGATGCTGGAGAGACGCCCTGGAACGACTGCAACTCCATCTCCATCTCGCCAGCTCCGAATGGGACACCTTGCCTTCCATTTACCGATTGCGATCGCACTGCGGTCAGGATGATCTCCATGCCATGCTCCTCATTTGTGCCGCGGCTGCTATGTTACTTGCACTGCAGCATCAGGACACTGAGCAAAATTAATTTGCATAAGAAAACAAATATTATATAAAACTTAAATCCATAAAGGAAATTTATTTTTGTCATTGTCCAGGTTTTAAGCTTATATTTGTGTCGGCGAACAAGGTTTTCTTAAAATATTATATGTTTTAGCAAAATAATCTAAATGCAAATATAATTCAGCTTTCATTATAAAAGTTCTGGCTTTCTTGATGTCAAAACGGGAAACAAATGTCAAAGACCACAAATTAAAATTATATTTATTTTTTTTTAATAGCAAATTTTTCTAAGAGTTCAACCGTTATTTTATTAGGGTAATGTTAAAAATTATGTTAATTTTTCTGCGTGCAGGGTAAATATTTTGCGCTACTCGCCGCCGCCTGACATGATTTACATGAAGTGAAGACGCACGTTTTTATTACATTTTCGTGGCTGTAAGTGCACCCAAGGCAGCCGGGCCACCTAAACCACCACCTCCTAAGCACCACCATCACCACCTCCCAACCACCACCGCAACCATAACCACTGGCGCGTCATCAGCGGTTTGCCTTTGATTTGCGGCAAATGTTACGCACTGGCATTGCATCGAGGAAGTGGAAACCAACAGCTGTGCAAGTGGAGGGTTAAATGCGCGAATCATTTATCATTTTTGCTGTTACAATTTTCAAGTATACACCGCCCCAGCCCAACTTGCCCGCAATTAAACAAACAATAACCTTTCCAAAACCGAAATCAAAACCAAAAGCGAAGAGGATCGGCTCATCTCCGGGGTTGGACACTTGTCACTGTCCGGATAAATGTCGCCCTTCTCGTTCGCGGCTTAAGTCGACGTTTTAATTTTAGTTCGGTGCTCGGGTGAGTTTTTGTGTTTTCTAGAAAATTGAATACCGCATTCAGTGGAAGATCGTAATCCTCAAATGAGATTGCTTTAAAGTAAATCGCTTCATTTAGGGAGGATTTTCGGGCTTATTAAGCTTCATTAGGTTTTAATCAATTTGGTTAGAGAGAGCAAGATACGAGTTGCTCATTTGGGACCCAGAGTTATGTTTACATAGGAAAGACATTTGTTACCTAGGTGGTCCCTTGGCAGTTCCCCTTTCGCCTCGTTCCCAGACCCATGTAGCAACCGAGAAATTTCAACTAATTAAAATACCTATAAACTCTGCATGTTGAGTCCTGTTTTGCGGCAGCATTTCCAG